GTTACATTTTATTCTCAGAGAAACGGTCCATCTGGCTCAAGGCTCACAATATTAGACTTTTAAATAAAATGACTTAATATTTGTAACTAGGGATGGAATATATTGGCATCAATATCGGTATTGGCCGATGTTTGTCATTTTTTTAACCATATCGGTATCGGTCCGATGAAAAAAAACCGGGTCGATGTTATCAACCGATATTTTTTCCATCTTGTCACCATTCGTTTGCCTGTTTCAGAGGGTGGGGGGGTGATGAGTAATTGTTTAGTCACATCCCAGTGATTGTGAAGTGTAAATGTGTGTGTCGTGTGTACATAATAATGTAAATTCAGCTTTAATAATTTTTATTCTATACAAAAACAGCTAATTTTAGAAGCATTAATGTCAGTATATCGATATCGGCAAATATTGGTTATCGGCCAAAACAGTGATCTTAATATCGGATATCGGCCCAGATATTTCATATCGGTGCATCACTATTTGTAACCATTAATTAAATGTGTTTCTTCACTACAAACATGGATACTTTTGTTCTTTTGAAAAACATTTTTTAGGATGTAAAAACGTGGGTGTTACTTTTCTCTGTGTGTGATTTAGGGAGTGTATTGCCCGCTCACCGGGCGGTGCTGGTTGCTCGCTGTGATGTCATGGCAGCCATGTTCAGTGGGAAATATGCAGAGGCTCGGAGCAGAGTGGTTCCCATCCACGGAGTCTCTTCTGACACCTTTCTGTCTTTTCTGGAGTACCTCTACACTGACTCCTGCTGTCCTGGTGAGTTTACTACACACAGCCCACGTTCCTAATTTAGGTCGTTTGATATTGTTCAAGCCATTTCTTGTGTCCTGGAAACCTAAGTTTGACTTAGTCTTAATTATAAAGACAAATGGCCAAAAATGAAGGGGAATAATTATTGGAAAAGTGGATTTAATTTGTAACTGGGATTAAAGTAGCTTTGAATGCTGTGGAAATGAGCCCCATGAAGACATCAGAAAACACAAGTGCGTCAGTGTTTTCATCTGAGCTTTGATCATAAAACTAAGCCCTAAACAAAGGACCCAGATGACAACTCCCAACATCCATCTGTGTGAACGCACCACGCTGCCAGAGTCACTCCCAAGAGGCACACAGTGAACAGCACTGAGCTTGAAATTAAATTAATTTTGTGGGAAGAAAAATCAACCCGTGGCATTGCTGCTTCCGCTGCCTTTGATGGTGCCAAGTCAGTGCCGCATGTTTTGTTGTTTTCCTCTGTCACAGCAAGTAGTGGTGAGTTCTCTGGTCATAGTGATGAGCTATGGTGCTATACGTGCAAAAGGTTAAAGTGTATCAGCAGAGAATTACCTAATGTAAAACACGTGTTTACAAAGTTCATGCTGGCCTGATTCAGTTTGAGCTGCAGGTCAGTGGCTTAAGGTTAGCTAAACAACTAGCATAAAGTATCATTTCTTCTATAGTGGGGACTGACAGACTTTGGCAATCGTATCTGAAACAGGGGACATGTCCATGACTGTGTTTTAGCAATATTCAGCTTCTTAAAATCAGTATTATCAAAGAATTGTTGATTTTAGAACAGGCAAAGCACCATTTTTGTATTCAGATACTGTAGGTGGAGATAGCCGCCAGTCACCATCTATTAAAATATATAAAAGCTTCTAAACAGATAAAACATCAGAAATATGAAGTCACATTAACCAGCTCCCAGTAGCTGATAATCACAATAATTTATAGCACAAACATTTATTTCTATAAAACAACAAAAAGCCAAAGAAAGGATCCTAAAAATCTAGCTGGAGTGTAGCTAGAGAACAGCTTCCTGTACTCAAAACCACTGGACACTAAAGCGTGAAGCAGCTTCAGAGGCTGGTATGTTATGTTATGTAAGACCCCAGCACTCAAGGGCAACACAAGGTAACTCCACAAGCATCAGTGACAAAAGGGTGTGAAGTCGAAGTAAAAGGGCCATCAGCGATCTCACCCAGATAATGTGTTCCCAACATATGCAAGGAGACGTTCTTAATGCTCGCTTGAGTAATTAATTTTGCAGTCAGTTAGATCAAAGCTGCAGTGTTGCTGCTGCTCAGCTGACAGTGCAGCAGCTAGTCTTTAGCTCACACACACACACACACACACACACACACACACACACACACACACACACACACACACACACACACACACACACACACACACACACACACACACACACACACACACACACACACACACACACACACACACACACACACACACACACACACACACACACACACACACTTTTTGCGTGAGAGATGCTGAAGGTGGAGTTCTGCATAAAAACCAATCAGACTGCTTCAGGTCTACTTAAATGTGATAATTTAACAGAATCTGAACTCTGTTTACCATTGAACAAATAAATGATTGAAGAGATTAAAGGCGTCTGTAAGTCTACAATGGGAGGAATTAATGCATATGCCACTAAAGTGTAATGCATTCTTGGCTTGTTCATAGGCAGAGTGAGCAGGATCTTCATTTGAACTAAACTCATCTTCTTGAGAACAAATGAGTCAGCATAAATGATTGGAACTTGGAAATGATTCCAACCCTCTTTCAGTTCTTTTTAAAACACAGAAAATGTTTATTTACCTGCAATGTTTCGTTTGCGGCTGCAAACATCAGGCTGACGCCAATGGTGGCGTCACTTCCTTTGTTTATCCGCAGGCAGCAGAGGACGTTGTCGCCCTCTGCTGCCCGCTCTCCCCTCTTCGATGATGCAGTCCCATGTGCGATCCAACGAGTAAACTCCATCGTCTCTGTTCATGGTCTCACATGCACGTCTCCTTATCTCTTTAGCTTCTTTTATCCATCTTTTGTATTTCTGTTGTTCGGTGTTTATGATCCTTGTGTTGTCCCAGTCCATTATATGGTTTTCTCTTGTGCAGTGATCTGTTACAGCTAACTTCTTTATTGTACTTTCTGCTTCTTGTTTTGCTGCTCTTGTGTGTCTTTGACTTGTTTCTTTCTCACACTCCTTTCTATGTTCTATTGTTGGTGTGTTGAATTGGCGTCCGGTTTCTCCTATGTATGTTTTATTGCAGAGTTTGCATGGTATTTCGTAAACAACTCCACATTTATGTCCAGCTGGTGTCTTGTCTTTTGGGTGTACTAGTCTGTTTCTAACGGTTGTGTATGGTTTTGTTGGTGTGTTTTTGTTTTATTTTTTCATTGTTGCTCTTATTTTTTCTGTTATGCCTTTAATGTATGGTAAGGTTATCACTAGTTTTGGTTCTTGTCTTTCTGGGTTTCTGGTTCTTTGCTTTGGTTGTTCTTTTCTTTCTGTTGTTTTTAGTTCTTTTGCCAGTTCTATACCATTTTTGTGGTGTTGATCTGTGTTACCTAATAACGGGCTGATGATTTTGCTGATTTCTTTTGCCATGTTGTATGTTGGTGTACCTATACTGTACTATTGGTCTAAATTGGGTGTTTTGTTTGTGTATTTTTGGTGTTCCATAGATTCTTGGTATTATGTTTGCTGTAGGAATCCAGTGTTTGTACATTTTTCCTGTTATTTTGCCATTTCCTTGTAGTGGCTTCAGTAATTTTTTCATATTTTTCTTAATGTTTTCTGTTGGGTCTTTTTTAAGTATTTTGTATGTATTTTTGTCCTCTAGCATCTGTTTCATCTGTTGCTTATATTTTTCTTTGTCCATTACTACTGTGGTTCTTCCTTTGTCTGCTGGTAGAATAATTATCTGTTCATTTTTGGATAACGCTGTCATGGCTGATTGTTCTTCATTTGTAATATTGCTGTGTTGAATTTGGCTGTTTTTTAATATCCCAACAACGTTTTTTCTAAGTTCTGCTTTCTTTCCCTCATCTGTGATCTGTTGACATGCTAGTTCTGTTGCTACGATAAATTCATCATATGGTATTTTCTTTGGTGTTACTGCAAAGTTTAAACCTTTTTTAATATGCTTTCTTCTGCTTCTGTTAGTTCATATTGTGAAATGTTACATACCCATGAGCATTATGTGGTGTTATCTTGTATTTCTTCCCTCTTTTTCTTGTTAATGAGTTTGTTTAACTTATTTGAGTCTTTTACTTTTATGAACTTTTTCCTGTTGTTCCATCATGTGTCTTGTAATTAGTTCCTCCGTTTGTTCAAGTTTGTAATTTCTTTTTAAGTCCAGGTGTCTTCTTTCCAGTTCGTTTTCCACTTGCTTCTGTTTGGTTGTGATGTTTCTTATCCTTTCTTTGAGTAGTGCTCTCTGTGCTCTTTCCATTATGTTCTGTGCTGTCTTGGTCCGGATCGGTGTTTTCAGCTGTAGGCTTGTTGGTGTAATGTTTTCGTCCCGGCATCTTAAATTGAAGTGAAGGTGGTTCCAAAGACGTGCGCGTTTTTGATGCAATCGTTCCAAACGGCGGAAGTCCTTCGTTCCTTGTTGTCCGTATTTTTCTTTAAACATCTTTGGTGTGTTCTTGCTGTGTTGAGTTTCAAATTCCATCTTTCAGTTCTTTTTAAAACACAGAAAAGGTTTATTTACCTGCAACGTTTCGCAGGTAAATAAACCTTTTCTGTGTTTTAAAAAGAACTGAAAGATGGAATTTGAAACAACACAGCAAGAACACACCAAAGCTGATACCAACCCCATTGTTTTTCAGTAACCATGTTCTAATATCTAATATCTGTTTTGCAGTCTTCTGACTCCAAAACAAGTGTATCATTTATCATTTTTTAGGACACATTAATAACTTAAACCAAGCATCTTTCCTTTCTGTTGTCAAAAAGTAAAGCCACAAATCCCAGGTTTAAAAAAGGTATTTAACTTCTATTTATCGGTTTGGTCAACATGACATGAAAATTCTCTTTTTCCAAGAGAGACGTGACCTACAACCTACAAAAGCACATCTGATAAAAACCACCTACGGGTGCAGTCGGTTCACTTTGGAAGTCTCAAAGTCCTTCCTGCTCACTTGCACAATGATGGTGCTTTTTAAGTATCAAATAATTAATTATAGATCCATTTCCAAGATAGAAGCTAAGAACTGTGTAGGTGTTGACACCTGACACATTTGAGGTCTCATTGGGGTAATGGTTGGACAGTTTTTGAAGCCTCAACTTTTACGTTCCAGATGTTTTGGTACCATTTCGATTTGAGATCATTTTAGTGAACATGGCTACCAACATCAACAAGTGGCTTAGTTGAAAGATTGCAGGTTTAAATCTTAGCTGCAGCCTTTATGTAGCATTCAAAGTTCATACATATGTAAAATTGCAGCTCAGTATCTGTAAAGACAACAGAGTTAAAAGCCAAGTTTGTGTCTGCTAACACCGATTAGATGTGGCAGCCATCTTTAACCAGGCCGACTCCAGTTGGATGAGCTGTAGATGAACACTAATAATTACTTTTCCATTATAATCCACCCAGTTCTCCAAGGCAGAAATAGTATGCCTTTGGTAACAAAATAAATGTGCATCATGTTATTGAACAGAATGTGTATAAAGGGTTTCACTGTGTGTGTGTGTGTGTCCAGCCAGTGTGCTGCAGGCCATGGCTGTACTGGTTTGTGCAGAGATGTATCAGGTGAAACGACTACAGCACCTGTGCGAGGTGTGTGTGTGTGCTTACCTTCAGAGCATGCCCAGTAGAGAGCTGGCATCAACAGGAATCAGCGTGGTCAGACTGCTCCGCAGGGCAAAGGTCAGTGCTACGTGTGTGTGGAGAGAAGCCAGCTTGTATGCCAATTGATTCAATGATAATATTCAGTCATCTTTTCCTTCCGTTTCCCTTCATTCTCAGTGCCATAACGCAGAGCAGTTGTACATCTGGCTCCTCCACTTCATCGCCAACAACTACCTGATCTTTAGTCATAAACCCGACTTCCTGGAGCTCTCAGGTCAGTGAGATCAAGTGAATATTTAGAATTATAGTGAAGCTTACAATAACACACTGTTTTCATGCTCAGAAAAGAAACCAGGCACAACATTCACATTTCTCAACAAAGCAGAAGTAAAATAAATGAAATGTAACCACAGAGATAAAGTTAGCTGTGAAATAAAGAGTTGCTGCTTCTAATGAAAGTTCACATTCAAACTTGATCCTCCAGGTAGCACTCACCTGTTTTTATGCTATCATCTAATAAAACCTTTATTTTAAAGTTTATGCCCCTCAAGGGTCTTTACAAGTATCTCTACGCATTTGCTTATGAAGAGAGATGAACAGCAACACTGTAGCAGAAGCATTTTATTGTCATGCATATAAAGACTCATTTATGGCGGGTTCTGGTTCTGGTGGGCACAAGCTTGTTGATGCGTCTTAATGTAAAAATGTTCGTTGATGTTTCAGTGACTGTGGTTGTCCTCAGGGCAGCAAGCTAAGCTTTTAATACTTGTGTGGATCTGAAAGCATGCATCAGGCATGGACAAACTTTCTCATCAGCAAAGCATCACAGGGTTGTCTGCAGTTGGTGATGGCTAGGAATGTCTATGTCTGTGTGTTCAGAGGAGGAGCGTGAGCAGGTGGAGAGGCTACGCTGGCCGTCCAGAGGATACCTGCAGGAGCTCAGCGAGTATCAGCAGCGGCGGCGCAATCTACGAAAGTCTCGCTGCTTAGTCATGTGACCACATCTGGAGGCCTAAACTCTGTGGAAGAGGGTGGGGCACAAAAGGGAATACAAGAGGAGAGAGAGAGGATAGTTGTCAAAATGTGAGCAGAAAGCTCAGACGAACCACACCTCCACCTCTAGAGGAATGACTCTTTGCATCAGGACAACTTCATCTTGGGCAATACAAACTAGGATTTTAAAATGACCATCTGGCCACAAGGCAGAGGCTCTGTGATAGATTATATTTCTACAAGATGCTAAATAATAATCAAATGTGCTAAATTATTCCATAAGGATTAAAAATACCAGATATTCAAACCAGCATTATGTGTAAATTGTTTCTACCCCCACCCTGACAACGGTGGTCTAAGCTGCACACACACCGGCTGCAGCAATAATTAAACCCACAGTAGCATCCATGTGTTGTTGGACGTAATGATTTGAAACATCTCTGGAGTCTGGACTTCTCAGATCAGATCTACAGCCCAGCACTGGCTGCTAAAGCAGTCGTTACTCATTTTCATCTGTAAAATATCAGAAACCCGATCAGCTTCTGAGCAGGACCAATTTAATTACAGCTCTCTTAGTAGATCTTTCACATTTATGATGCATCACAAGTAATTGTTTTGCAGCCAAATTGATTTATCTTGACAGAATAAATTTATTATATTTTGATTATAATTAGATTCAAATACCATTTTTCAGAGAAAAAAACGACATCTATTTTATATAAAAAATAAAGTGCAAACAAATTCGGATAGAAAATCAAGACCGTTCTGTGAATACACATCTGTCCATACCAATGTTTAGCTTATTAGATATCAGAAAACCTGAGTAAATACAGAAACAGTTTTAAAATTGAGTTTTTATTTATTTAGCAGATAAATTGATCCCAACCAACTAAACCTACACTTTTATAAACACCCTTGGTTGGTCAGAACTGGTAATGGTGATGAGTTTAGAGAGCCTCCTGGACACTTCGCTGGGGAGGTGTTGGAGGCATGTCCCGTCAGTGGGAGGCGTCCTGGTCGACTCAGGACGCGCTGGAGGGATCATATCTGTAGGCTCGCCTGAGAATGCTTTGGGATGCCACAAGAGGAGCTGGTGGAGAAGCCTGTTAGGGATTCATAGTTTATGGTTGAGTGTACACACCCTTTTGCTATTGAGGAATACCGACCTCTGACCTTAACCAAGTGAAGAAGTTGATTTATACAGCACTTTTCACAGACAAGTCAAAGTGCTTCAGACAAAAAAAAAACATACAATGAACACAATTACAATAAAACATTAAAGACTAAAGCTTGAAAACAACAGAATTACAATTATCAATGATCAATAAGACTGGTGGTGCTGGTTTAGGTGTTTTTCTGCATTATTGAATTTAGAATGGAACACCGTGTTTATTTCGCCTACTCCATGTTGTCAGACAGGTTTTGAGGAATTGATTACATTAGTAGTAGGCAATAATCTGAGTGAAACTGGACTCAGATTTCTTAATGTGGTTAATTCAAAATGTAGATTATTTTTTCCATTTAGGTCTATGCTTGTTTTTAATACACAAAATGATGATAAAAGTTGTATTTACTCAGGTTCTGTTGATACTGTCATTCGTTTACTAATCTGAAATCTTTGTGACAGAAAAGCAAAAACAATGAATCTGTGTGTGGGCACATAGGTTTTCACATCACTGAAACACTTCCCTTTTGAACTTGAGCTTCATACTTTGTCCTTTGGAGGGTTGTAGTGAGTCCTTATTTGGACCAACACAGTGAAAGCCTTTGATAGTGAAAATGATGTAGACTCCATATCACAACATAATTACAGTACAAACCTCGCTGCCTCTGGGTTAATAAGACAGTATTTCTTTTACCCATTGTTTTTGGTAGATTATTTTAAATAAAAATGAGATTATGATTTATAGTGCTGCAAATATTTTTGTAAACTATACAATATGTGTACTTGAAAAACATGGCCGCACCTTTTTACAGTCCAGCGTTTCTCTGCCATTTACTCAGTTTGAACTTAGTCATATTGTTGGGCTTTTTGAAGCCAATTATTTGTTTCACAAATTATTAATGTACAGTAACCATCAGTACCAGATGGTGTCCAGTTCTAGGAGTATCTATGCAGAAATGTAGCAGAAATCAGTGCATTTCTCTTCAGTAAATCACTGAGATTTTGACCATATGGATGTTTGGTATGCATTTGTATAAAATAAAATACTAAATCCTCAGAAATATAAATTTATTAGTGAAAGGCAGGTGGAACTCTGGACTGTAAAACAAAAGTGCACCAGCTGTACAGTCTGTACATAACGTAGCAGTGGACTTTAAATAAAGACCTTTTAGAATCAACGTGCTGCTGATGAACTATTCTGTTTTACTTCATTTGTTTCGTAATGCAAATATATTCACTACACTTCCATAGATATTGGGACATCGACACAATGCTAACATTTTTGGCTCTATACACCACCACAATGGATATCAAATGAAATGAACAAGATGTGCTTTAACTGCAGACTGTCCGCTTTTATTTGAGGTGTTTACATCCAAATCAGGTGAACGGTGTAGGAATTACAACAGTTTGCATATGTGCCTCCCACTTAAGGGACCAAAAGTAATGGGACAATTGGCTTCTCAACAGTTCCATGGCCAGGTGTGTGTTATTCCCTCATTATCCCAATTACAATGAGCAGATAAAAGGTCCAGAGTTGATTTCAAGTGTGCCATTTGCATTTGGAATCTGTTGCTTTCAACAGTCCAGATGAGATCCAAAGAGCTGTCACTATCAGTGAAGCAAGCCATTATTGGGCTGAAAAATCACTGGTGCGTCCGCTGACACCTGAGACCTCGGCGAGGTCTGGAGTGGTCGCTTCCATCAGCGCTGGTCCTCCAGCACACAAAGAACCTGCCACCAGACTTGGCGAGCCTAGCTCACCGATCAGACTTCCACTAAGGATTCTCTGCAAAATCATCTGTGATGGTCCTAATGAGAAACCTCACATTCTGGTGACCCTGGAGGGGACGCTTGTCTGTGAGGGCATCATGGACTCCGGTTCCAATTTCACCATCATGTCCAGCTCTCTCTGGGAGCAGGTCCGCATGGCTGCAGCTGCATGTAAAGGGTTAATTTACATCTAATTAATGGACCATAAGACCTGAGATTCCATACTAAATATGGAATCAACCTTGTGGACCTTTGGGTTATTTTAACCAGAAGATTGGAACTTTTTATTGCAGGGATTATGCAACACTTGTATTAACTGAGAGACGAGAAGAGTCGCCTTTAAAATGTTTAAGATGATTTATTTATAAAACAGTTTTAAACAAGACTAAGTGATGAATGGATCTGGTGTGAACGAGACATGAGATGAATGGTGTGTGTGAGTGATGTTGTAATCAGAACTCTCGTATCCAGAGAAGCAAGTCTGAATGATGTTGTGATGTTTTGCTTTAGCTATGATCGGAGTTATGATCGGAGTTTCATAAACACATGAGACGCCAGATTTGTCGCTCTACACATACCCTTCAGATGACACTACCGTACAGATCCAGACTGCCAGGTCCTCGAACCCCCCTTTCGGTACTGGAGCCGATGAAACAGCGTCAGCAGTACGACAGACTAGTCTTTGGATTGTCTCCAGGTAAAAAGCGACAGTTGTTTCACGGCGTCAGGTGGACCCCCCTTGGGTCAGTGAGTTCAGCTTTTATTCTGAAAGGAACCGTTGCTTGGTTGGAAAAAATGCAACAGAATTTATCCAGCTTGTTGGTTCTTTGCTTAAAATGGAAGTCCGGGTGGCCGGTCCGATACTTCTCTTAGCATGCGGTAAACTGCAGAGAACTCCAGTAACTCTTGAGAACTCAGAGAACCGTTGAGAACTGAACTTAAGATGGCGTAGGACTGGTTTTATTAATCTGGATGTTTTGATTTGTGGTCGAATCAAAGTTGGCAGATATATAAACACCACAGAGACTATGCCACGCTTCAAAAAGGAAGGTTCTGATTGGACGCTTAAAAGCAAATGTGTCATGCGTTTACATTACGTGTAGTCAGCATGTCTAGTGCAGCTAGATTAAAGTCATATTACTTATTAAAGCATACTAATCATAACATTGTCATTTCACAGATTGGTCAACATTATATTATTGACTAACACTTTGTTTGATTAACTTTATTAAAAATAGAGTTCTTTGATTTATTAAAAGGAGAGAGTCCTTTATCTTCATTCTTCTCTTGAGCTGGAAAGAAAGCAGTTTAGAAGCAAATGCATGACCTTGAGGCAGTCTCATGCAGATTAATTCTGTGTCAGAGGCATCTGTGGAGAGAGGGTAAATAACTTCGGTGGAATAGCTCCTTCATCACGTTACATAGGACTCACGCCCTGCGCTGTGAACATCCATCCTTTCTCTTCAGGTAAAATGACTTTGTCGAACGTGGTGTTCCTCAACTTCACAGTGGGAGACATGTCCGTGAGCCATCCAGTGTTTGTAGCTAACGTTGATGCTTTTCCTTTCCTTTTAGGTGGGGACCTGCTCCAACGCTTTAAGGCCGTCATTTCACTTGGTGATTGGACACTCCGAACTCGGCTGACTCAACCGACGCCCAGAGTTTATTTGTGACGCTTGGTTCCATCCAGTCCACCTGTGTTACCTGGAAGCGATCCTGGACCGACCTGGTCATACTAGGAGTTAGTCTACGGACTTCTGTACTCGGGGTCTCCAACCCCCCTGACATTTCGGATCCGCAAGGGCGCCTCCATTTGGGTACGTAGAGCACAGTGAGATAGCGCCTGTATGCAGTTTGATAACGGCTTGTAGTTTACTTGCAAACCAATTTTCCTCCATCCAGGATTCAGCTTTCTCATGATACCGACTCTGAAATACTATATTCACACCTAGTTCCAGACACCCATCTCAGTCGCATCCACTCACAGTAAATAATAGTTTAAACCATTTATCAAATCTTAAATTGTTTGTAAAATAAATTATTTGTTTGCAAACCTGACTGGTTCTTGAATCCTACACAAAGTGGAGACAGTCCCTGAATAAATAGTCTTAGAATCTTCTGCCTAATCATCTTAAAGACCATATAATTAATAGGTTATCACAGCTATGGGTCACAAGCAATGACAATAAAAATAAATAGCTTTTAAGCAATTTATTTAATCCAATTTACCCTATATTGTTTCATTACACCATCAATAGGCTGAAAAAACAAAATAAACCTATCAGAGAGATAGCAAAAACATTAGGCGTAGCCAAAACAACAGTTTGGAACATTCTCAAAAAGAAGGAACGCACCGGTGAGCTCAGAGACACCAAAAGACCCGGAAGACCACGGAAAACAACTGGTGGATGACGGGAGAATCCTTTCCCTGGTGAAGAAAACACCCTTCACAACAGTTGGCCAGATCAAGAACACTCTCCAGGAGGTAGGTGTGTCTGTGTCAAAGTCAACAATCAAGAGAAGACTCCACCAGTGTGAATACAGAGGGTTCACCACAAGATGTAAACCATTGGTGAGCCCCAAAAACAGGAAGGAAAGATTAGAGTTTGCCAAACATCTAAAAAAGCCTTCACAGTTCTGGAACAACATCCTATGGACAGATGAGACCAAGATCAACTTGTACCAGAGGGATGGGAAGAGAAGAGTATGGAGACGGAAAGGAACTGCTCATGATCCTGAGCATACCACCTCGTCAGTGAAGCATGGTGCTGGAAGTGTCATGGCGTGGGCATGTATGGCTGCCAGTGGAACTGGTTCTCTTGTATTTATTGATGATGTGACTGCTGACAAAAGCAGCACGATTAATTCTGAAGTGTTTCAGGCAATATTATCTGCTCATATTCAGCCAAATGCCTCAGAACTCATTGGACGGCGCTTCACAGTGCAGATGGACAATGACCCAAAGCATACTGCAAAAGCAACCAAAGAGTTTTTGAAGGGTAAGAGGTGGACTGTTTTGCAATGGCCAAGTCAATCAACTGACCTGAATCCGATTGAGCATGCATTTCACTTGCTGAAGACAAAACTGAAGGGAAAATGCCCCAGGAACCAGCAGGAACTGAAGACTGTTGCAGTAGAGGCCGGGCAGAGCATCACCAGGGATGAAACCCAATGTCTGGTGATGTCCATGTGTTCCAGACTTCAGGCTGTAATTGACTGCAAAGGATTTGCAACCAAGTATTGAAATGTTTAAATTTCACTTATTCTGTCCCATTACTTTTGGTCCCTTAACAAGTGGGAGGCACATATGCAAACTGTTGTAATTCCTACACCGTTCACCTGATTTGGATGTAAATACCCTCAAATAAAAGATGACAGTCTGCAGTTAAAGCGCATCTTCGTTTCATTTGATATCTATTGTGGTGGTGTATAGAGCCAAAAATGTTAACATTGTGTCGATGTCCCAATATTTATGGACCTGACTGTATGTGTAGTGAATATATTTTCATCACGAAACAAATGAAGTAAAACAGAATAGTTCATCAGCAGCACAGGTCAGATTAGCACGGCCATGTGCAATGTGAAAAACAGATGCAGCTCCTGAGCGGTTGGGTAAGACGACAGCAATAAATGAGTCTGCAGAAGCTTTAAAGGACCAAAATAATGTGGCTAGTCAGGAAAGTCTGTGCTGATCAGTGATCACCCACAGATGTGATTAAGGCGCCACCCAGTGGCCAGGTGTGGGGTTGTTCCAGGGGCCATTTTTGACACTTCATGAGCTGCTCTATTTTTCTGATTTGGTCATTCGTCCAGAGTTAAGTCTTAATAGCATGGTTAACTAGTTGCTGCAGAGATGTTTATATATTTTGCTCTTGTTCAAAAGCTGTTTACGATAAAGTTTGTTTTAATATTTCTAAAGTGCTATTTTTTATATGTAAACTTGCTTAGTTTGCTTTGTTACATCAGTTTTTTCTCCAAATAAAAGGGGTGTGATGTCAAAGAAAAGTAACCCCAGCTCTATCTCAGCACCACCTGCTAGCTGGGCTGGAGGAAAGAACTGCAGGAGACCAATCATTAACCATAACCAACATTAATTTCACTTTCACTCCATTTGGTAGAAAAACCCTAGATCCTGTTACACTTTTACAGTCTGACAAAACTGTGCAAAATGATCAAAGAGACTACTTCAGTAAGCGCGGTATTTCTGTACCTGGAGGCGTGGGGACGATCACTGCAGGGCTCCGATGGACTTTAACATCCCCTCCAGTTTACCGCTCTTATGCAGCGCTTCCACATCGGAGCCACCTCCAATGCAATTCTCACCGATGAACACACGTGGGACCTGCATTCGACATAGACAACATAAAAATAATTTAAACGTGATGTAAATATGCAGCATTTCCTTCTGAACCTCGGGCTCGCAAATGACTGAAAATGTTAAGATTTTCCTAAAATCTGATTCTTAATTCTGCTTGAGGTGTTCATGAAACAAGAGCACTGTTGTCTATTCTTTGATCTTCTGGAATAGACAGAAGTATGGATTCTAAAGAAATGTTTAGCCAAGGGCGTGGCATGTTAATACCATTTTGCTATTTATGGAACAGGGTAGGATCTGTGTAACACAAGACTAAAGGCTTTACATTTTCTATCACAAGTCACTTGTTTCTCCTGACTCAATTCCCATTCTTTCCACCCTAGATCTTTAAACATGACTCAGCAGTAATGTCTGTAAGAAAAAAGGACTTTCAACATATCAGTAAAATGCTGAGGTTTGGTCAGGATTACTTCCTGAAAAAGCACTTCAGGGACCTTATTTCTCTTAAATCACCACAGAAAAGCTGTTTCATGCTTTAATAAGGCCATCTTTCCACTGACTGATATAACTGGAGCCAGTATTCCCAGATGTGGGAAGTAAAGATAACTTGAACTTTTATTCATAAATTAGAGGGTTTTTTGTATGATAATTTATTTTCTCCAAAATGCCAGAGCAAATTGATCCAAGCCAGGAGAGTTTAGTCCTGGTCATTGATGACCTTTATCCAGCATGTTTAAAATGTTTTTTTCTGATTTTTCAAGTTTCCAAACTCTATAGAAAAGGGGGGGGGGGGGGGTCTGAAAAGACCCCCCCCCCCCCCCCCCCCCCCCACACACACACTTTTAAAGTGAAAATTACGTCCAACTATTTTTATTCTTGGCAATCTATTCATTTTTAAGCCCACAGCAGATAAATATTAGAATAAAAGCAAAAAAAGCATAATTTCCCATCATTCCGTGTTTTCTGTAAGAAAAAGCCAAACTTACAGCACATTAAACACAATGGTTTAATAAAAAGATGCTTTTGAAAAACATAATAATGAATTTAACTAACTGACAAACGAAGCAGGTCCAAGTTTCATAATAACCGTGACTCAGACATTTACCGTTCGGGCTCCAGTGAGTTCCAGGAGATAGTCCTGGATAGCGTTCATCTCGCTGTGTTCACTGATGTTAATACACTTCAAATGTCCCGGTTTGAAGTTATAGTTGGACAAAACGTCCTCGGCCATGACGCAGTAAGGACACGTAGGTTTAAGGAACACCACCACTTTGTCGCCTTTGATCTCCGCCTTCACAAACTGCTGCGCCATCTTGGCTCCTTCACTGAAGAAGTACGAAAATTCTGGGCGTAAGAGACCAAAAGCTACTGGAGGAGAACAATGTAGTTTTAACATTTATGTAAATCAGGGTGACGTAAGGACACGCCCACTGTCTTAAAGACGCAGTACAGTCTCGCCACCTGTTAAAGCAGGGGTGTCAAACTCAAACTCACATGGGCCGAAATGAAACTGGGACGGAGTCGAGGGCCAAACTTAATATTTTTTGAAAAAGTGACGGCAAATTTGCACATTTTCTTTATCAACATATATGCAATTTTGAACCTTTAAATTTGGAAACAAACATATTTCTGCATTAACACTGAATGTGGAATAACCAAATTACACACGAGCAAGTCAGCTTTAAATAAGGCATCAGTGGTATTCATTACTTGTGGTATAATCAGCATTTTTAAAATCTATTCAGGATTTATGTTTTCTTGTTTATTCATTTTTCTTATTTTTTATTCTCTTTTTTTTCTCCTGTAATAAGTGTCATCACTGCTGTGACATCTAGCTTTCCCCACTGAGGAACAATAAAGGGATTTTCTATTCATCTATCTGCAGGTGCAGGCTTTCCACCTCCTGTTTACTTTAGGTTAAATCTTTGCTCACGGGCCAACAACAAAATAAAAATATCATTTTATCTTAAATGAAAATGCAACATCTCCCCTGTTAACTTTCATGTTTTGGAACAGAAAAAGAGCATACAACCAACATATTTAAAGCTCAGTTTGCTCCACTGGTTTACTGTGATGCTCACCTGTTCCAGCCAGATACCTGCATCATGGGGTTGATCTGAGCTGAGGAGGAGACTCCTGTTGTTTTGTTCATCTTCATCATAATAATGACATTAGATGACAACAGGTGCTCACATAGTTTTGTGCTGATGAACATGTCTGAGCAGCTTGACCACGTTGTTGTGTGTCGGGGAGGAAACACCACAGAGCCATGCTGGTTTAAGCGTGTCGCTGTTCGCTGGAGTTATATCAGCTCTGTCTGGACGTTAGTTGGAAAACTTTCTTTTTGTAGTCATGAACACATTACTGAGTGGTTAAAATCTCCGTTTCTGGCCTTCAACGTCAGAAAACAGCTGAGTGAACTCGGCGCTGAGTGAGAGGAGTGTAGTTTGTCCGAGACAGCGGAGCTGCAGAGACCAGCAGCAGGCGCTGGAAGAAAAAACATAAAGGAGGGGGCACGTCAGCTCCGCGCTGACGCCGCAAAGCATCATGGGAGTTGCAGTCTTTGCGGTAAAATCGGCCAGCGGGCCAGTTTTAATATATTTTTTATATTTATCTCGCGGGCCACATAAAAGTGCTCCGCGGGCCGCCTTGTGTCTGACATATGTGTGTTAAAGGGTCAGTTCAGAGTGGGTTCAAATGAAAAAGTTACTTAACATTCTAGCAAAGATCTGTGAAATGTAAACAGTCACAACTTTCAGAAATACAGATAAGGTTTTAACAAAACAGTTGATTTCATAATTTTTCTGTCATAAATATCAAATTGCTGCTGGAATTTCCATACGCATGTACCAGAAGTGTAAAAGTTTGCTACCAGAGGCAGTTCTACCTCTTGTGTGGCTTGTCCCTTCAGGGGCCACCACAGTGAATCATCTGTATCCATTTCTGCATCCTCTCCTTTTTGGTCTTCCTCTCTGCCTCCTTCCTGGTGGCTTCAGCCTCAGATGTGATGACCTGTCTCTCCTCAGGACATCCCCAAGAGTGGCAGCTGGTGAAACAAAAACCTTGGTGGGGCTAAATGGGAAATAGTTCCCTTTTTAATAATACGTATTAACATTAACAGTTGAAAAATGACTACAATTCCAAAACAATCACTAATTCCCTTCCTCCAAATAAGTAGTTTTACTGATAATTTTCTAATTTACAGATAAATTATATTATAATAAAAATAATACTCAAATAATTACACAAAGCTACAGTGTGAGCTTTGAAGAGCAACTGCAGTCAAAATTTTCCATTACTAGTTGCTAATGCTAACTTTTAGTTACTACTACTCGAGACGTTCTGCTGTTTCCTGGACGCTACACCAACAACAGCCTTCCCTGTCGTGAGTCAAGATGGGTGATTCCATAATTGTTAGTGACAGTGTGACGTAGATCTGTCAGACTTTTCAAATCCTAGAGTTTCACCATCTATCATCATCATCATCATCATCATCTATCAGAAGCTAGTAGCAGATAGGTGTAGGAGATTATTTTCACGTTCAGCCTGCATGAAAAACTAAGAGACTGATTATAATCGGAAATAATAAATAAAAAATGTATTTTCATTCAACCACACCCTTGTTTCTTTGCATTTGCCACAATAGCAAAATGCCTACAAACATTTCTGAACTTTATGATTCCATCAATGTTAAACATGAAACTGAGTAAACATTTCTGTAGTTCATTTAAAATATCTAATTACCAAACACTTTAGTGTTTTCATGTGAAAAATACTCATTCAGTTTCCAGGAAGGATGTGTGTGTGTGTGTGTGTGTTCAAGTTTTGTTTAGTAGCTTTGCAAATAATACCAGTTGAATCAAAGAGATGTTTAACAAAAGTGGTTTTATTTTTAGATTTCTTCCATCTGAGGAATTTAATTTTATTTTGAAATACCATTTTTTAAATGAAATCATGTTTATTTAACACATCCGCTCCAAATCACGTGATATTTTGTTAATTCAGTAACTTACATTTTCATTCAGTTGCATTAAACGTTTGAAGATGATCCCAGTAAAGTCTTCCGCATCTCCTAAACATCACTACTCTAAAGAGGAAGCCGATTTTCAAGAACTGCAAACCAATGAATTAAAATGCTGCCCTGAGCAGAGGTAGCGAGAGCTCCATCAGTGGAACAGGAACTCTATTACTCTGTAAAACAGAAACAACTTCAGAGAGGATCTATTCAAGCCTGGCAAGCCAGACTCAATGAACGTATTATTTTTTGCAAAGCAAGAATTTGGTCTAGTTCACTAGGCTAGATCTATTCATTAACAGCTGTAAACATCCTGATGATGACTCACCGTAGAGACCGTTCCTCCCACAGGCCCATCCTCCTCTTTGGGCCTCCCTGCGGGGAGTCAGGAATGCTGATGTGCCGGGCTGCCCATCTCTCATAACGCGCCTCCTCTTTCAGTCTCAGGGCCTCCTTCGCTTTACGGGTTTTCTCCCAATAGACCTCCAGTCGATTGTAGAAGCTCTGCCTTTGTTTGTCACGACTGAGCCAGATCTCTCTCTTCTGTCTCTCTCGCTGACCTCGGGTCATCTGATAGAAGATGTAAAAGTTTGCTGTTGGGGTCAAAATGAGAGCAGGAGAGGTGATCAGCTTTTTCAGACAGAAATGAGGTGTTCAGGGTGATTTCTGGGATCTCACTTGGGTAAACCTGGTTGCCCTCCTCTTTCTCTCTAATGTACGTTTTACGGATCTTTTTTCTGTAGTAGTCATGGATCGAAGCATCCAGCCGGGTCAGGATTCTCCTACAAATGCTCTTCTCTTTTGGGTTTTCTCCAGTTTCTTCAGCTGTTTCAGACATGTGTGCAAGATCCCCAAACTCTTCCCTTCTGTGAGGATTTAGCTGATTTTTCCATGTGCCCTGCTGGTTTGGTGGCAGCGCCACACACCTTTCTTTCTCCGCCACTACCTTTTCATCTGTAACGACCTCTGTTTCTTCTCCATCTGCCTCTTCTTCCTGCTCAGCTTTCTCTCCATCACCAAGGAAATGGTATTTTACGTTAGAGACTGGACTGCTCTGGTTCCTCTCCTGATTACAGGAAGTTGGAGCAGTGGGGGTCAGAATGAGCGGTTTGGTCCCTGCCACCAAATTCCAGCTCCATTTACTGCAATCTGAGACGTGAACTTTTTGAGAATGAAAGATGTCAACCACAACCGTCTTGGGCTCTGGAAGAACCTTCCTCACAATCTTACTGGTGGACATGTCTTTGTTTTCCTATGAAGAGTTAAAAAAAAACATTAGAAAATGTGCATATTTGTTCATTTTTAGTAAATTCTCAATAGACTCCCAAAGAGCAAACGGACCAGGAAAACCACCAGCAGATTGTTATTGCTACACTTGCAAAATAATCTGGCACTGACTTCCTGAAACGAACAAAGCCTGTGTTTGCTAACATTGCTTAAAATATAGCGATCAATGTCTTTCACTTAGTTTTTTTAAATATTGCACAACTTTATTATTCTTTTTTCTTCAGGCAAATTCTTTCAAACTTAATTGATGATATCAAATTGGCATTTTTGCACAAATCTTATTAGTTTTAGTGTTTTTATTTGTTATATTTATTATTCTTATCATCTAAAAATCCTCAATTGCCTTATTAATACTTAATATATGTGATGTTTATTTGTTTGAAAAGAAATTAAATAAAAAAAAGGTAAATGTCAAATATTTCAGATTTTCATCAAATAGATCAGGCGTGGGGAACCCTGGTCCTCGAGGGCGGGTATTCCGCACGTCTTTGCTCCAACACTTCTGATTCAGTGGTTGAAGTCCATGTGCAGCAGCTCATCAGGCTCTGCAGAAGCCTGTTAATCACCTGCTGATTGAAATGAGGTGTGTTGAAGCAGGGTTGAAACCTCGCCTTGATGTCTTGGCCCCGCCCCGGTTGCCCAGGAGATATGTCATCAGGAGCCGCCAAGACGTTCTCCAATGTTAATGTTCTGCTGAGGCGTCTGTTCTGTTTGTTAGCCGTTTAGCTAGCTGAGCAAGGATACACGGGAGGTGTCTTGTAGCCTCAAGGCGAGGTTCCTTGGCATTGAGAAACACCCTAAGATATGCTGGATAGTAGCCCTCGATGGACCAGGGCTCCCCACCCCTGAAATAGATGATCAGACTGGCCTAAATGATGCATGTTAAATAAATTTCACTAGTACTGTATTTGTTCACTGCAAAAAATATTTTTTTCTCAGAAAGAATTTTTTTTTTCTTATTTTTAAAAAGTAAAAAATTATTTTGAAAAATTGCATTACTTAAAATAAGACCAATATTCTTGATCCAATTTTTCTTGTTTTGTGTAAAAAAGCAAACAATGGCCAGGTAGAATTTTTAAAACTTGCAAACTATTCTAAATTTGGATTTGTATGAATGCTAGCCAAACAAACAAACCCATTGGCAGATTTTTTTTTTACTCAAAACAAGAAAATAATATCATATTTATCAATATCTACCTCATTTTCAGTAATGCAATTTTTCTAGAGAATATTTTTTCTTAAGTATAAAATAAGAAAATGTCTAAAAATTTGGTTTATTTTACTTTTGAGATTTTTTTTTGCAGTGTTTGTAAGGGAGATTTGAAGAGTTAAAATTCAGTCAGCAATCAACTAAACCGACATTTGTACCTGAACATTTTAAAATTATAGGTTATTTCTCACTGATGTATGTGTGAGAGAGAGAGGACAAATGTGTGTATATAGTAAATAGTGAGTTTTTACCTTTTGATAAACCAAGTCCAGGTCCACATCGCTCCAGTCAAGTCTTCCCCACACACCTGAAACTGGCTGTAAAGAGATGTTTCCTAGTTTTGTTTCGGCCTCCATGATGCCTCGAGCTTCGTTAAATCTCTGCTGACTTTTTGCTAAAAGGATTTAAAAAATGCTCATCAGTGAAGCTCTTGTGCTCTCAAACCAAATGGAGTGACTGAGAAAACGGAATTGACTGTAAACCCAACTTCTGTTGCTACAACAAGAAGCGATTCCGTTCCAGGTCATTCTGTTTTCAAAGACGTAAAACACAAAAACACACATTTTCAAATCAATGTAAGTTGCACCTAAAAGTTGCATTTAAATGCATTAGGAATTAAACATAAACTGGTTAAGATCCATAATAAACATCTTTATGTCAACCAGACTTTTTTCTTGCGTCACATGATTGCAGACTTTGCGTTGATTTGAATTCACAAAGTTTTTGTTTCATAAAAGTTAAAAGACATTCTGGTATTTAGTGTAAACCAGGAGAAACCAGTTCCACCTGAATGTTTATTGACAGATCAGAAAACAAAACACTTTGTAAAAAGGTGTGTGTGTGTGTGAAATAAGTTTCCTCTTGATGCTGCAACAGGAACGGAAAGTAAGTGCTGCTCATCTAATGACTCATTAACAATCACATACTTAATTATTCACAAGTGTGCTTAAAAATTAAAGATCTGGCTGAATAAATGAAAAATAGAACCCCCCAAGGCACTTTACAACACATCAGGTCATTCACCTATTCACACACTGCAGGGGCGTGTCCAGGGAGTGGCCTGGGGTAGCACATGCCACCCTTGGAATATGATTGGCCACCCCAGGTGCCACCACACTAATTTATCTTTAAATAGGCTTTTCATTGTCCACAAAAGGCTTGGGGGTAAAACAAAAAAAGCATAACCATTGGTGCCACCCATGCACAAAGTTAGGCCTCACCTGGGCCACCCCATTTTAAAAGATCTGGACACGCCACTGACACACTGGAGGTTTTGCAGCTGCCCTGGGGCACACTGACAGAAGTGAGAATGCAGAGCACAGGTGCCACCGGTCCTTCCAACCACCACCAGCAGGCAACCTGGGTTGACTGTCTTGCTCAAGGACACAACTACAACAGATTGAGTGGGACTCATTCCTGCAAACTTCTGGTTAGGAAACGGACACTTAACTCCTCTGCCATCATCATCTAGCAATGCAGCATGGCCTGGGTTTTCTAGCTCACCCCTTTGGTTATGCTGCTGTAAGCTCACCTCTTCTGCACCGTTTGTTCTGCGCCAGGGGAGAGTATTGGAGCCAGAGATTATACTTGAGTAGCTTTCCTTGATTTCCTTGGATAAACTAAGTAGCTCAGTAATTAAAACTCTTAGACAGAAAGGTTACAAATACAGAGTAAAGATTTGATCCTAACAGCTGATTTAATTGTTAAACGAACATTTTCTAGCAAAATTTTACATTTAAATACTTGGGAAAAAATTATTTTTCTAGTTTTATCGATTGATTTAGAGATGTTTCGCTCATAATTAATGTCAAACATCGCCTCGTCTTGGATGAACAGTACACACTGCTCGGGCCAAGAAACAAGGGGCAGAGAGTGACGACATAATCAAGTCCCCTCAAGTCAAACTGCTGGAACAAGGTGTTGAAAGAATTAACTCATAATAATAATAATAAAGGAAATGAGTCCTGCGTGGTCGCAGAGTAAAAGGGGAACTGAAACCTCAAGTGGAGGTGATGTTATAGGGTTAGGGTTGATGTATTTATGTGTGTTTAACCATTGTACAACTCATGGACTATCCTGACAAACAGGGTTTTTGGGAATGTGTTGAAGGTCATGTTAATGGACAGGATGTGCTTATAAGATCTGAAGCAGGAACAGGTGTGATAAAAAAAATTTGTAATGTATAACATGGAGCTTTTGATGATGACCTGGAGCTGACGACATCAAGGTATAAAAACCATGACTGGGGACAAATTGCCGGCTCTCGTCTAGAGAGTCCGCAGAAAAGGTTTGCTTAATCAGAGAGATCGAATAAGCTTTGGGTTTCATCTTGTAACATCAGCGGTAGTTATGAAAATTAATACTGACGGGTGTGGAATGCACCAATACGTGAGTCCAGGACGGAGGGTCTTCTACCCATTACAGTAGAGGAAACTAGGTCCATACTGGTACCTGTGGAATCCAAGGCTGTGGTCACTGACCTATTAACTCAGGTTCTCTTATAATAGGAGCTTTCCCCGACCTCATAAAAAATTGAACTCACAGGAGTTCTAGATAAGAAAAGGAAAAAAAGTTTTAAAATCTACTCACATTTCTCTTGCAGCTATCCGGGTGTTCCATCAAAAGACTTCATCCTTTCAGGATTTGGTATTTGCATTTTACATTTTAACTATATAAAGTTTCTGGTTGACATTTTTGCTTTGCATATCACATATACTCAAGGTTTTAATTTTACTTTAAAGCTTTTTACATTTTACCTATATCATCAACCAAAGTATATATAATATATATATATATATACAAATGGTAAAATAACAAAATCAAACAAAAACAGAGCTCCATCAGCTGCTATATGCCTCTAGCATTGTTACTCGCGCAGTTGCAAAAGACTTGTGAGCTGAAGCTTTGCTTGATTAAATTTATTTAGTCAAGGGGTTGCCACCTGTTGGATCACAAATAAATGCATTAAATGCGATGCACCGATTGTTGCTCTGACTTTCGAGTTAAAATTAAAAGGATCTGACGAAAAATGGAATAAGTAAGCAAAATAGAAAGGCAGAGGTGAAGCTTTGGAAGAGAAACCTTTAATCCTAGAGTGAGATTGATGACCTCTCTAAAAGTTAACCCATGTCTTTCACCACATAGCGTCCCTGTTGGTGAACATACAACTGACTGCGTAGTAATAAGAATAGGAAATGCACGTCCTCTCTTACAGGCGAAGGTCAACAGTAATGTTCATAGGCATGAACCGGAAAAAGCTTTAAATGAATTAAAACGGCTAATTAACTAACGTGTGAACATCCAACTTTATCAGTCCTCAATACGAGGTTTTGGGTGAATTCCAGCCCCAAAAGCCTCCTAGACGGTGTTGCAGCAGGAAGCCTAGTGATCGATCACCAATCGGTGGGGAATTTGGATAAGCCACAGTTTACGTAACAAAGTGAGTGAGTAGTTTTCCTATCACAACCCAAATATTCAGCCGTGTGTTAAAAGGCACCCAAAATCTGTTGTCAAACACTGATCTAGGTTCACTGGATGTTCAAATGGATTCTTCCACACATGGATGTAGCGGTCCCGTGAATCTCCCAGTAAGGGGAGGGGCAGAAAGTGGCAGGTCCACTTTTGCTGCGAGATACATTAACATTATTGATGTGCAATCTGCACTTTCTAATCTGATCAAAGAAACTCTTCTCCAGGATTTAGCACATCTTCAAAACATTCTGGAGGGGGCATCTTTTGCAAAATTTAAAAATGATGTAGGATTGTACATAGGTGAACCTTATGAAATTAAAGGCGTTCTCCCCGGGAAAGTTAGACAATACCCGATTCGTGAAGGTTTGCTTGAAATCACTAAAACTATTAAAGAGTTGGAATCACTAGGCATGGTAGAAGCTGTGAAAGAACCACCATGTTTAACTCCCATTCAAGCTGTTTGGAAACCTGATGGAACCTATAGGTTGGTGCAAGATTTGCGCAAGCTCAACATCTGCATGCATCGGGATGTTGGTAGATTGATTAATCCTAATGAGAAAGATTCTATTCCAAAGGGGAAGTTCAAAACTGCTTGATTTGGCTAATGGGCCCCATCTGGGACAAGACAGCCCCTGCGCCGGTGTTGCTCGCATCTGTGTCCAACATAAATGTTAGGAGGGGGTCTAGTGGGTACAGGATAGGGGACTCCACCAGTGCCTTTTGTAAGTCCTTAAATGCCTGGTCACACTCTTCTGTCCACTCAAACACCACCCCCCTCCACAGTAGACGGAACAAAGGGGCTGCAATGTGAGAGAACCCCCTCATGAACCGTTGGTAATATGACGCCAGACCCAAGAAACTTTTCAGGTCTGATACAGGGGTTTTGCATCCCCGGTGTCTATGTCGTGTTCAATTTTGTTTGTCCGGCCCATATCCTCTTCTGTTAGCGAGAAGCAGTCTTTAAACTCCAGCAGCATTTGCCAGAGCTGGTCCTGTTCTGTCTGGGACAATCCATCACAGTTCCGCAGTGAGATCTCTCTCACAGCTGTCCAAAGACAGACCACCTGGTGTAGAACTGGAAGGGGCTGGGTCAGCTGGCGTGGTCCCCTCTGAGTCCGTTATAAAAGGTCTATGGTGTTGAGGTATGTAGTGATTTGAGCCCTTTTGACTCTGATCCAACCACAGAGACGGTCCTCCAGTCCCAGCCCTGTAGTTGTCTTGTTGGAAGTCAGGTGTAGTGTGTATGTACTGTATGTTTTCCTGCTTCAGTGATGTATGAGGGCAACGACTAACCAGGTGCCCCGGCTGGCCACAACCCCAGCATAATCTTCGGTTTTGTCCTAGTAGCTGGTCTTCCTTCACTGCTATGGATTGGACCAGCTGGGTCAGTTCTGCAGCCCATGGAGGTTCCATAGAAGGGCCTGCAGTGGCACCCACAGCCTTCACGTCCAGGGTACCACGTGGTCAAGGGATAAGCATCTCCCGCTCCATCGCCATTTCCAAGGCCTCTTGGAGGGCACCAGGGTGAGCCAATAAGGTTTAGACCCGCAGTTCATCTGGTAGCAGGGCTTGGAGGAAGTGGTCCCGAGCTAGCTCACGTAGGATGGAAGGCGGCATGTGGGCATAAGTCCAGTGGACCAGACCTTCCATGTCGTTAGCCAAGGCCCTTAACTGCTCCCCTGGTTTTTGCTGACAGCTGCATAGCTCAGAGTGGAGCATACTGGCAGTTGAACACAGGCTGAAACACCGGCATAACTCTCCAACCAGTGCCACATATGGGCCATTCCCATCTGTACCGGGTCTGCCCGGGCCGGGTAGCGTAGGTTGTTTACATATCTGGGTGGCCTGGTATTTTCCCGGGCCAACCAAGGCTCATTCTCAGCCCTCTTCTCGAGGGGGTCTGCTTCAGGCCGACCAGGGCCAACACACCCACTGCTGACAGCAAATTCACACCTTCCATTAGAGCAAGCCTCTGATTGGTGGGTAGAATCAGCCCACATGGGCTTAAGACAAGGATGTGTGGAATAAATTGGGCCAGGCTGGGGCCGACTGGGGCTACCCGGCCCGGGCCGACCCGGTACAGATGGGAATGGCCCAACAGTCCCCTCGGTCAGCCGGGCTCAGCAGCAGCAAGCAAGACAAGGCATACCCCGTGAGGCACATGGCTAATTGCAGGGCTTTTTCTTCGCTCTCCCACCCAGCATCTCTAGCCAACAGTTAGATTTGAGCCTGAAAAGCATCCCAATGAGATTTTCCGTCTAATTTGGGTGCTTTGATGGTTGGTCCAGTGAGCGAAACCATCACTGGGGTCTTCGGAATGGAGGGACGGGGAGTAGCGTTAGCTGCGTCAGCCACCGGGGGACCTGACGAGTTGAATCCAGCCTCTCCTGCCAGCCGCACGGCCATCTCTCTCACCCGGCTTTTATGGTTCTTCCTTGGGGTAGAATCACCTGGATCACTTTCACCGGTGATAGCGGCTTCCAAGTCAGGCTTCACCTTAGGATGCGTCCCAGACCGTACAGAATCCATTAGCCTTAAGCCTGAGTCATGCTTCTGCGTCAGCTCCACAAGTGACAGACACGCACGGATTGACGGAAGCGTTTTGCTCTCATACTTCCCTGTTTGCTGAAGGGGTGTTGCAAAGCGATTCTCCCAACAGGACAACAGAGGGCATAGTGTAGGTAGCAGTACAGTGACGTCTAACTGTTTCCATGGAAATCACTTACACGGTCTGAAAAATGGCAAGCTACACGAGACAGAAGTTTGATCGAGTTGGAACTGTGTGATCCAGACGAAGAAATGCTCATCTTGCTGAAATACCAGCGAGAGCATAAAAGGAGACAACGGTATCGGTGGGATGTCCATCCGGTAAACAGGTCTAGGCAGACAACAGGCAAATTTTCAGGACTTGTGCAACCTTTGAGGAAGTGATCTCACGTTTCTGGACCGGCCAGTCACAAGCATGCTTTCTCTGTCTCATTCAACGGATGTTAAGAAAAGTGGGCTCGACTTCGTATGTACTTGCGTGCGTGCCGGGGGGCCTATGCAAGAATGGATAATGGCGTTGCGTGTCTCTGCACTGACGCAGAAGCATGACTCAGGCTTTAGCCGAGTGCGACAACTAGGGTGAAGTACTCACTTCTGACATCAGTGTAACGACCCCGACTCGTTCTCCGGTTCTTTATTCTGGGTTACTGTCGGCCATAACCCACGCCTTACAGCTTAATCCCCCCCCCCATAGTCACAAGAAACTGAACAAGAACTCCGCTTTTCCCAACATCAACAAACGTAACCCGTTACACTACTTTTCAGTTGGTCAATATTTCTAAAATTCCCTTTTTTTTGCATTGGTTCTAATTGATATTTTAATATTCTGAGATATTGAACTTCAGACTTATTAGTTGTCAGTTTTAATAATCAAAATTAAAGAAATAAACATTTGAAAAACATTAGTTTGTTAAAGGAATTAATCGAATATACATTTTCCACTTTTAAAAGGGATTACTGAAATAAATGAACTGTCGTATTCTAATTTTGACCAGACCTGTAATGAACAGAAATGCTAATTTCCTACATTTTTGCAGCAAAATGTAGATGTGGAGAAAAACTTTTGACAGAAATGCAAAAAATGCTCAGTCAGCTGCAATTAAAGATTCTGAAACTTTAGCTTTGAGTAACGATTTCCTATAAAATAAACAGTTTGAACCTTTTAGAGTGGTGATGACTCAACAGGAAATCAGGTGACACATAAATGACTGCCAGACATTCTCCAGGTAAACTAAAGGTTTTTATTTAGTTTTGAACATTTTATGTTGCCATTTCAGCCAAATTCACTTAATTTCCTTTAGTTTCACGTCTGACTGGTGTAATAATCCCCTTCTCTTCATAACGAGACATGTTTCATTCCTCCAGGTTGCTGAGGCCACAGAAGACCATGTAGTCTACATGTATCTGCTGATAGGACACTCCAAAATACAAATTTAGAATTTTGTCCAAAACAAGAGAAACCAAGGTGTAGGTTTCATCAAGTTGAAGTGATTCTGACCGCTGAGAACAACAACCAGTCTACTGCAGAGACTGACTTGTGAACAGCACGACAAAATATCTGAGAAGCTCAAATGAGATTATTTATGAAGAGACTCGTCACCATGGCGACACGAGTAAGAAATGATCTCTGAACATTTATCAGTTTCTATAAGGATCCTCTCCATGGAAGCAGAACCAGGAAGGCATTTCATATTTGGCAAACATCCTAACACAAGTTTGTAAACATTTTTTTGTCCCTTGTTGAAATAAAGTACAGACCAGAAGCCACGCGTTGATCCGTGAAAAGGAAAAAAATAACTGAAATCTTCTGTTTCTCTGTGGAATTCACACTAAGAATGTAAAACAAAGTACCAGAGTCCTGACGGGGCCTCTAGAGGAGGAGGAGGATGACGTGGCTTCTTAATAAAAAAACTCAAACCCAAGACTTTTGCCTCTGGATTATCAGGCTCATTAAGGGGGCGCGGCCTAGAGAGGAACCGCTGTGAAAAGCGAGGATCCGTTTGCATCTCTTCGAGGAGAATCAGGTGTCTCTCCAGCCAGGTGGATCCTGATCCTGGCTGCTCAAACACTAGCAGCTTTTTTACTTTTTTTTTTAAGTTTTTTGTCATATTTCTAACTTTTTCTCCGTGCTCCTGTCACTCAGCATAACTCTCACATGAACACACTTTTGTAACTCTCCTTTCTCCCTTATGACAGCCACGCACGCACACACAAACACATACACACTCACCCACACCAAGTCTCCAGGCAGTTGTAGTTCCTTTGCATAGTGTGGATTCATTGGGGTTGGGCCCAGCTCAGACGCTGGAAGGCTCTGTGAACAGTGACTTAATTACCCCCAACCTCATCACCCTTTGTGGTTGTAGCAACTAAACTTACCACCCCCACTGCTAGTCCCTGGTGACCTCATTTCCTGTTTGTCTTCACAGGCTTCTCTAGTACGTCATCTTACAGAAACAAAAGGAAATGAGGCAGCAGAGAAATATTTGCTAATTCGGATTTCTGGAACTCGAGTGCAGAGCGACTTCTCAAGTTCAACACATAAGGCTGTTGGTAATTTATGCTGCATTGTTCAAGAAAAAACAAAACAAAACTTAATATATCATCTGATGACTCTTGTTTACACTAGGAGTCTAAATAAATATCTCCCTCTTAATTTTTATACTTAAATACAAGTTAATATTTTTCTTGATGCTCCAAAATACTTTGTCTGAAAAGAGAAAGTGTCCTTCACAAGTTTTCTCCCTCCCTATCTCCGATCCAGTGGTACCAAGTTCCACCAGAACCAACGAAAAAACAGAACAGATGGGAGTCGAGTCGGATGTTTTCGGTTTCAGGCAAGTAAAGACGCCCGTGGAATCAAAAGGAAAGAGGAGGGAATGAAGGATGAGGAGGTGTTGTAATAAATAAGAATGGGTTGGTCACGCCCACCCTGGTTTGACACTCCGTTCACAATACTGATGATAGAAGATGTGCTGTGCTCTCAGCACCAGGACTGGGCTCGGCGCTGGTCGAAATCAGCTATCAGTCGCTTGATGTGGGCCAGTTTGTTGTGCAGGTATTCACAGCGCTGTTTGTCTTCATGGTAGTTCGGGTTGTGCTGGGGGGGGGGGGAGAAAAGGTCAGAATATTAAGACTAATAATGCTGATCCTAGAAGCAGCTTGTGATTCAATTTCCTCTAGCAACACACCTGGGTACATAGCACCTGTACACAAGGGCTTAGATCTTTGACTGTAGTCAGAAAATAACCCCCCAAAACACGTCAAATCCTAATTTAGTGAGTAGCTGTAAGCTTCAGCTGATGTTTGCAGCTGGGCTAAAGCTACAAGTTTCTGCTTTTCTTTCTCTTTTTCTTTTAAAGAAGAAAATAAAAATACAAACGGGTGCAAAGATGCCATTATTCCTTGTTTACCACCAGGAACCTTATTGGTTCATCTTTACCCAAAAAGAGGGTGCAGCCATTTATAGGAAAAGGAAGTGGCTTTGCATCACTCGGTTTTATGCTAATGCAGTCAGGTCTGGTGTTTTAATATTTGTTTTAACATGAAACACATCTTACAAACATTTCTCTACCTTCTCTGTAGTCACACAAGCATCTCTAGTCAGGCTGAGACAGTTTAAATAATGATCAGTAGATCAGATCAAACCTCAGTGGAGGTTGATGCCCAACACAGAAGTAACAAAGACAAAAATAAAAACTCCAAACACACGTTGGTCAGCCACGTTGCATTATTAGAGCAGAACGAGAAGAAAGTTTTTTTTATAAAGCATCTCTTTAGATAAAAATCACAAGAACCACAAACAATAATAAAAAAAAAATAAATAAACAAATAGCTTTTTAAAGTTATGATGGTGTGAAGTCATTACCGGTCATGTTTGTAAATATTTTGTCAACAATGCGCTGAACCTTGATTTGAAACTGAAATCGCAGTCTCTGCCAGAAAAATGATCAGAATTCAATCTTTTCTTGAAATCGTTCAGCTTTAGTAAAATAAAGATGTTTAAATAAAATATTGCATTTGTGTGTTCTGTATTGAAAGCAGTTCATTAAGGAATAGCATAAAATGGCCAAAGCTGCACCAATAATTTGATATGTTTCAATAATTACTGATATTGATCAATACGAATAAAATTTGTATTGATATGCTTTTTAAAACATATTGCCCAGCCTTAACCCTGCCACTGTCCTCGTGGGAGCTCACTCCTCACCCCTGCCACGTGGACCTCAAGGGATAAACCATCAGTCCTGCTCAATGGTCAACTTTCCAGGCGGGGTCACGCATGAGGACAGTGGGAGGGTTAAGCGTATGCCACATCATCATAGCCTGTGCAAAAACTCACTTGTTTCATCTTTTTGTATTCCCTCAGGACCTCATCCTGCACTTTCTGTTGAAGGTGAAAAACAAACGTTGGTTAAACTTAAAAACAACAATCATGGAACATTTTTACCAAACAAAAACATCCATCACCCCTAACAAATGAGTTTACATCTTACTGTCACACGTGTGTGAGCCTTCTTGCCTGATCACAATACTCTGTATGCTTACACACACACACACACACACACACACACACACACACACACACACACACACACACACACACACACACACACACACACACACACACACACACACACACACACACTTCTGACCTGATGCTCTTTAGTTCCAGGAGTCAGCTTCCGACACTGAGCCTCCAGCTGTGTGAAGCGGCGGGTGATGCTCTCCACACGCGCGTGTAGCTGACGATACTCGCCGTACTCTGCGTTAAAGTCATCCTTGTAGCCTTGTCTCTGGTCAAGGGACACCAGCGGCGTGTACTTCCTGTAAACATGGGAGCGAGTGGGTTTCTTTCCTTCTTGTGACTCTGAAACATGCAAATACTCCAAACTCCTTCCTCTGGTGTCCCAATTAGTTTTTAAATGATTGGAGTTGTTGGAGGAGAGTTTCTGTTGAGTTTAATGTTACTCACACGACGTAGTCAGGCATCTCAGTTTTGGATGAAGACTCAGTGGACTGGACAAGTGGCTTCTCTTTGTCTGAAAAAAGAGGGAAGGATGACAATCAATGTGTTCAGCCATTGAATTTATCCGTTACGTGTCATTTACATGTTCACACACTTCCATCCCTCTGTTATTGTTCTGTGTGTGTACATAGAAAGGTCTAGGAAATATACTTGTGTAAAGATTTAAACCTCATGGCCACTAGAGGGTGTGAAAACTCCAAAAAACATCCCTTCAGAACAAGAAAAAGCCATTTTCTCAAATGAACAACAGACGTTTTCCAGTCAGTGTGCTCAGATTGAGGTTTGGACTTTTTCTGCAATCCAAGAGGGAAGATTCTTGTTAGGCAAAACAAAGTAAACAGTGTTTTTACTCAGACATGCTGTTGTCTCCAACCTTCACACCATTTTAGAAAAGGAAAAACCATCTTGGTCTGAAACAATCAGACATTTAAGTGTAGATGCTTCAGTTCAGGTTAAATCCTGCTAAATCTAATTAGTAAATCAGATCAACCCTACATGCTTGTACAGGTTTTCCTTCACTCACGCCAAGTTTCTGCCCTAACATGGCTAATTTATTCTGCTGGAGGACACTTAACATAAAATACATTTCCATTATGCTTTTATCAACTCGAGCGTTCAAAGCTGAGGCGTTGGATGTTTCTTGAAAAGATTAAAAAAATCTGTTCTGTAGAGATCAAGTGTTGAGGTCTGAAAATAATTCATGAGTTTGCCTGAAAACAGAAGTTGTGTTTTGTCTGTTTTATACAAGCAGCATCTGCTTAAACACACTTATAATAAAATAAAAAACACTTATTTTACAGTCTTTAGTCAAATAAAGTATAGGGATGGACCGATCAGGTTTTTTGCCGATCACCGATACCGATATCAAACAATGCTGATCACCGATACCGATCACGTGGAATGGCCAGAAATTTTCTACATTATAATGAGTGCTACAAACTACATAATCTGGGAATAAAGGAAATGCAACCTAATCTAAAATGGTCTGTATTAAGGTTGTCACGGTGTGAAAATTTAACCTCATGGTTATTGTGACCAAAATTACCATGGTTTTCGGTATTATTGCGGTATTTTTTTTTTAAACGTGCTACATTTTCACACAATTAAACCCTGTATGTCAGGAAATATTGTCCTCAGTTTGTGTCTAAATTTTGCCTAAAATGTGTTATTTTGTAATTATGTTGTTTATTTGTTTACATTTTTTCCCTTTAGTCTTTAAAATACCAATATTTGCCCGTAACTTCTTATTTTATGTCTGTTTGATGTCATCATTTTAAAAATATTAGTTCAGATGGTAGTAGCCTTCTAATCAGATACTTGTTTACCCTTACTTGAGTAATAAACCCTATATCAGGAAAATATTGTCCTCGGTTTGTGTTCCAGTGAGCTTTGCAGATGTGGGAAAATGTCATCAGGCAGTAATCATTGTTAAATTCATAATTATTCTCGGAGAGAGACCAACTCTTATCTGCTCCTGGGAGCCCCGTAATGCATGGCGTCATTTCAACATGGGGGTGTCCGTGACACGGTTTATATGCAGGTAGCGGCGCTGCGGCTGCTTTATATAGCGACTCGTTGCATTCTCCCTCAACCCAAATCCTCGTATCACGCATTTGATCTAAAATGCTAACGTTAGCTTGCCTTGCGTTGACTGTAGAGTTGTGGGTGATGGTCACGCAGATGTGTCATGAGATTTGAAGCGCTGCTGCCTTTCACAGACACTTTTTCTGCACATGCTGCAAACAGGATAGCCGTCTTCTATCAGCTGTCACTCGGCATTCTTCAAATATCCAAAAGATGCCCGTACTTCCCACTTTATCTTCTTTGAGGGATAATAAATGTCCTCCTGAGCACTGCCGTCTCCTCCTTTGGCCATTATTTCAGCTTTAGCTTCAAGAAAGTTTTGGTTGTAAACAACAAAGTGCGCATGTGCCGCCGGCAACTTCAGCAGATGATACGGTGGCTGGTAAGGGTCACCGCGCCTACACCGCAGCCACGGTAAACCCACCGAGATAATAGTTTTTTTTTTTTTTAAAACAAGACAGTTATTATTATTGTCAACTTTTTTACTGGGGTTTATCGCTACACCGGTTACCGTGACAACCCTACCTGATCGGTCTGCTTTGATCCATTTTGAAAACTCCGATCAAAACCGATAGGGGCGCTATCGGCCGATTGGGATCAAATGCCGATCCATCAGTGCATCCCTAATAAAGTAAGCGACAATCCTGGGTTTGGTGGATTTCATGTTAGTGCAACACTCATTAATGAAGCCATACCTTGATCTTTGTGAGAACTTTTGCTAAGAGCACCTCCCACTTCCTCGTCAGCGCTGCGTTTCTTTTTAGCTCTCTGACTCTCCTGCACCTGCTCTGCCACAACCGGAGGACTAAAGCTGGGTCTTTCCGTCTGTTTCCCTTTATCCTTCTCTCTGTCCTTGTCCTTGTGCTTCTTGGATTTCTTCCGACACTTTTTACTTGAACCGCTACATGAGGGAGGGCTGGTGATGACAGTGGAGGTAACAGTGAGGGAGGTGCACGGCAAAGGTGTAGGGGAGGCGGCGGGTTTGGAGACGGGGTGCCGACAGGAGTCCTGCAGGGTCCCATCAGCAGAAACGGGGCTGGGGGAGGGGTCTCTGCAGGAAGAGCTCTGGTCCATGGGCAGGTCCTGGGTGCCGCAGCCCTCTGGGGTGCTGGGTGAGTTAGAGTTGGAGGCTGGGCTGGGCTGCTGATGAGAGGGAGCTGGAGGGTGAGATGATATGGGCAGGTGGGTGGGAGGGCCCGAGGTGACATTGGGGGGTAGGGACGAGTGTTTAGAGCTGGGGCTGCCCTCATCCTCTCGGCGCTCAGAGGAGGATGAAGATGCAGCGGACCCCCGGTTACTGAGGTGAGAGATGCGTGCCTTCTTGGGAGCCAAGGGATCGATGAAGTCAAAGTCAGGCTGGCGCTTCTGCAACAAAATACAAAAACAAACCCATTAACCCAACGACTGTGTCTCTTTAATGTCTGCCTCTGCGTCCATTTGTCCAGCTACCTGAGGGGAAGTGGGGAATCCGTCTTTAGGGGGACTGCTTGATGCAACTCTCTCAGTAGGAAGACCTAATTTACTGTTTAAAACAAAAGAGGAAAGTAATTCAGCTGCTGTTTGTAAATCACTAAACAATCACTAGCTTATTAAAAAATAAACCACTGAGCCCTATAATCGTATTATTAATCACAAATACACAGATTCTATTAGAGATGCATTTAGCCCTATGCTGCACTGTGATGTGTCCGTCAGTAATATAAAACTTCTGACTGCTTACGTCTAAATTTCCTGTTTAATTACTCATTTATTTTAAAATTATTCAGCTTTTTCCCTGATGGCTGCAAACCAAACTGGTCATGTAATAAATAACAATAATAATAATAATAATAATAATAATATAAAACAGAACCGGCCGTTCCTGTACCGAGCTAAGATCCGGTCGACCTGGGTCTTCTCGTCTTCGGAATAGCCAGGCCAGTCTCGCTGGACATCCCGATACATAAAGTCCTTCAGAGAGTACGTGTTGTCTTTGGGATTCATGTTAGCCACCTGTTAAACACAAATGCACTAAAGCAACATTGAAACCTTCACAGCTTCATACAGAAACTTCAGATTTCCTGCCATCTGTGCAGGCACAGTATATTTAGCAGGTTAGGGCTTTATTTCCAGTAAACCAAGTCTTCTGCAGTGAACGGCTCTATTCACGTCTTTAACATCAAGCCAAACTCAAAGCCTCCTCGTGAATCAGAATAACCAAGCTAGGCATGTAGATGGTAGACGTGAAGGAAAACACTTGTCCCAGATTTTCTGTGCTGCTCAGGAACTCAGCATCAGATGGTCATGTCTGGCAGATGCTATAGATCACTGTACACAAAAACTACCAGACACAAGAACAGTTTCTTTCCTTCAGCTATTTCTCTCCTGAATCTGTAGATTCTTTCACCATCCTTTTACTATACATTTTTATACTTATTCAGTATGCTTATGGATATGAGTGTGTGTGTGTGTGTGTGTGTGTGTATATACATGTTCTTATGTGTTTTTTATGTATTTTTATTCTCATTTATTGTAGTTGTATGTTTTAGAGAGCGAACATCTACCGAAGCTAAATTCCTTGTAAATGTAATTTTACTTGGCCAATAAACCTGAATCTGAAATATTATATTACTGTAAATACTCAAAAACAGTCCGTTATAAACTGTAATCTAAACCACAAAGATCACCTGCTGCAGGGTGGTCCCCAGAGAGTTGCGGTCCTTCTGGTTGATCCCGTCCCGCTGCAGACGGCCAAGCACCTCCAGTTTCTTGTAGGACCTGAGCGCCAGCAGGTGGATGATGCGGTCCCGGAGCGGCCTCTGGGACACGGGGTTGTTGGAAAGGCACTTGCGTATGGTGTTGGCTGGGTTGATCGGTGTGGAGCGTTTTCGCTCTGGGACGACATCTGGGGCTGATAGTGCAGGCTTACGAATGTGCACTTGCTTTCCTAAAAGCAAGAGAAAAAAAGGTATTTTTGTCATTTTATAGTAGCGATGCTAAAGACGCTGAATAATAAAAAAAGAAAAAGATTAAAAGGACCTGAAAGTACCTAAACTCTCCAACTTTCATGCATTTTTACAAAGCAGCAACCTGCTATGAGTCATGGGAGATTATCTTTAAACGAATAAGAGTCACAGTATTATGCTGTTAAACTAATGGCACCAACCAGCGGTTCTCCGGTTACCTCCAGTTCTAATCCTCGCCGCCCTTTCCTGTCTGTTATCTAAACTACGTAAGGCCCTGTTGGGTATTTCTGGGCCGTGTGTTTTATCAGGGTGCCGCCACACTCCCCTATTCTTCCACACACTTGTTATGAAATTCTAAAGCTCTTTAAAAGATTAGAGTTAGAGAGGAAAAGGAAACACCTCCCCTCCTCCACCTTGGCCAGAAGGCAGACTAGAGCGTACCGTGAGATCACCCTTGGCAACTACCTAACTGACTGCAGTCTCCTCCTTAGATCCTCTTCTGCACACCTGGAGTTGTAATAATTTTCCCATCAAATGCAAATGAATTTACAACACGGATTCACTTGTCATTAGAAATAAATGACAGGTAATAGGAGTTTCAGGTTCCTACGAGGACCTATTAGGAGCAGGACCATAACACCCTCTTTCTCATTAGGCGCCAACGTTCAACCAGCTGCTACAAGTTTCTGTGCAGCGTCTCTCGTTTCCCAGTTTCTGTCTAAGCCGGTTTCTGTTTGAGCCTGCCTATGCAAATCCATCCCGAGATCTGTGTTAAAGAAGATATTACAAACCATCAGAACAACTCAAGACCCTTCTAGAGTTAGAGTGATCACGTTTCCGTACCCGCATTCGCTCTATGACTTTTTTTGGGTAGATGAAGATAGAAATGTATTCAAATACTTCAATTTTGAATTATTTTTTTTGCCTGGCCTTTCAGGCCAAGTTGAAAAACCGTTTTAGCAAGTGCCATACAACGGGTGTACGCCGTATCCATTACGTGACATCACAGGACAAGTGATGGTGTGACTCCCTCATGGACACGATCTGCATCCTCATGTCCAAAATAAAATCCCAAACTATGGAAACTCTGGGTAGTACCAGGAAGGAGCTGTGCGTGACTAACAGGGACTCAAACAGTAATGCAGTTACATGGCGTTGTAGTAATATGACTAACACGAGTGTCCACTTAGCCCGACCTCAACCGTGGCTAAACACGTCAGCTGCAAACCAAAACGTGTTGTGATGCGCACGTAATAACAAACACAAACGGTTTGTTGTTTTTGATTGGTCTTTGGTTTTAGTTTAGAAGCTTCCAGAATTTCAGACAGCACTAATCTATCCAGATTGATCCAATATATCCAGATTAATCTACCCATATGAGTTTGACAATGAAGACATAAATGACTCTGAATCAGTTTAAAGATGTTCTATATTGATTTGGTCAACAGTAATTAATAATGTGATGTGAATGGAGTCATATTGATGCTTGAACATGCATTAGTCCGTCCAAGATGAAAGCAGCAGCTGGTCTTTCAAAGTCGTTTCCATGCATTTTCTCTGTGGGAGATTCAGTTTTCAGTGGTGTCCTTTATCAGCAACAGTTTTTAAACCTTTACAAGATAACTAAACAAGATTTGCTGATATTTGAAACCAGACTGTATGAAAATATAGATTTGCATGAATAAAACTGCCACTTGTCCATAAAAAGAACATTAAAAACACAGGAAAGAAATACTCTGTACTCAAACGTCTAATCTGGAACAACAGAACAGTTCACATAATCATAATTAGGACTTTAAACAGGATTTTGATTCATATTTCCACAAAATTAGACAAAGAGAGGAGAGAGTTGCTGGTTTTAAAGCCATAAGTTGGGGCCTTACCTCTGTACTGGCCCCCAGGCTTGATGACTTTGGTCCCACGTTCACGTGTGTCCTCCACAGCCTGGGTCATGCGTTCCCGGGTCACCTGGTAGGAGTCATTGGTGGCGCACACTGTGACCTTGTCCTGTACCGTCGCCAACAATGCCAGGTGTGAGGCCCCTGAGCTGTAGACAAAGATGGGATGGTGAGAGAGAGGTGAGGCACTGAGGGATTATCTTCCAGCAACATGTAGCAAGGCAGCAATAGATGATTCAGCTAAATGGCGATTACCTTGACACATACTGGTGGATACACTCAAAACTTCCCTGAGGGTTGTCTTTGCCCACATTGGACAAGTAGAAATCAAAATTGTGGAAGGTGTCTGAGGGGGAGTCAGTCTTGGGAATTTTAATGTGCTGTGAAACAAATAAATGCACAGAAACAAAATTCACACACATATAACAATATTGTGAGAATGAAGATCTGAACATATGAATATAATTAACCGGTTTAATTAACTAACATTTTTAGTGTACAACGCCTTGTTTGGTTGTAATGCCTTGTTGAATGCGCTTTATAAATAAAATTGGATTGGATAACTGTCATTTCTTTAAGTGAAGATGAAAAGTTAGCTTGTATATAAAAAAAAAAGACAGACTGCATTACTGGACATATGTTGGGTGATATTAAGGGAGAATTTTCTGATGTGCATGATTCACAGCTTAAAGCAGCAATCTGGAGTATTTCCCCTTTCAGGAATTATGTAAGATTTTTAAGAAATCCGTAAAAGTGATAGTCTAGCCCCGTACTGTCTCGTAGAGCTCTATGCAATTTGAAATGAGCGCCGCTCAGCATTAGCCAATACCGCTAGACATCCATTTATGTAAAGATGTCAATCACAGTACGTGTGTGTTTGCAGAAGTATCAAGAATAAAGCAAAGTTGGCAACATGCCTTATGAACAAGTACATCTTTAAAATAAAAATATAAACGAATAAGCAGCATAACAATGAAAAAAATTGTAAAGCAATGTTTTTTTTAGCTCTGTTGGGCAGCTAGAGGTGCACTTTCATGAATGAGAGGCATTGCTTGTAGTTGTAGTCACAGAAGTATAGAGAGGGGCTTGAGGTGCAAAACAGTTTTCCACCTCTAGATGGTACCATCTTAGAAAACTCCAGATTTCTGCTTTAATCAGTCCAGGCACTGGTAAATAGCTCAACCTTTTTATCAACAAACCTTATTGAAGCAAAGAAGCATAAATAATACTTAAAAAGTACTTAGTGAGAATGTAAGAAAATATTGATACATTAAAATATCACAAATACTTTTGATACACATTATGATACCAAAACAAAGCACTGAATACATTTGAGAATTTACATGCAAACTTTTACTATTCATTGTGTGGTGCAAATCAAATTCCAACAGCTAGGTGGCAGCAGTCTTTCCCACCTTCATTATGACAAGTACGACATTGCTTGATAACAAAGGGTTGTGTCTTGGAAGCGTCTGTCCAGAGTTTTCCATTTAAGTTCAGTCTTCAAAAATTGCAAATATCATCTGGCTTTAAAGTGGCAGTGTGTAGTTTTCTGACGATAGGGGGAAGTACACAGTCCATTGAGAGAATGCTATTGCAGAATGCCGATTGTAGTTTCCAGATCTGCTCGGGGTCCTGCGATAGCCGATGGCATCAAACTTTGGCAATACCACTTGACCAAATTATATCGCCTCTCTTTTTTGATTCTGTTTTTCCACATAGATTTTGGAAAGAGTTTAGTTGTTTGGTCATGAAATTCATGTTTCTTATTGCCAACATGTTTTCAAACGTGGTAACGTAACTTCTGTAGGTCGTACGTCCAGCCAATCATCTCGTGAGACATCATCGAAGAACCCCGAGCTGGCAAGAAGGAAACATGGCATCGAATATAGCCGCCAATATTTTTTTAAAGAATGAACATAATTTTATTCCTTTTCAACAAAATTTCAATCGATATTTCCAGGGATTAATGGTAAAAACTACACATCGTCCCTTTTGGGTGTTGCGATATATCGTATTGTCTCCCAGATTCTTGCCAATACACACCCCTGGTAAATAATACAAAAATGTTCTTCAAATTTTAAGCCTCACAACATAAAATCACTTTAAAAAAAAGCAATTACCCCTTGGAGTCCCTTGAATTTTATTGTAGGTCGTGAAGAAGGTACGTTCTGAAATAGACAAAACAGTTAAACACACGAAGATCTTTTAAAATGAACCACTGAATGTGTATGACTCTTAAATATTGTAATTATCCAAACAGTTGAAGTTTGAAGCAAATATTTGTCTAGTGATGTACACTCTGAAGTGATTTTTTATGAAGCACGTTTATTTCAAGTTTTGACTGAGAAACAAAATAAAGTAAAAAGCCACACATTTTGCAGAGACTGCTGTGGAGCAGCAGATCGCAGGTTAGGACAGGAAAGCACAAAACTCCCAATTTTCCACATAGCTCAAACACACCGAGCTAGTTGGCTGGACTCCTGAATGAGTTGCATTTAACTGGTTGGAGTGCATTTTATCAGTGCTAAACCCAAAACATCTTTGCACATAAAAAAAAGGACTGGTTGTAAGATAAAGTGTAGATTCTGTTACGAGTGTGAGACAAATGTGTCACAGTTTGAGAAGGCTAAGCTACTCCAAGTCACGGACTCCCTCCCCCACTCCCTCACACCGTTCTTCTGATCACATTTCACATCACCACAGAACGACAAAGATAGCCACCTTCCATAGTTCGATGACTGGTTCAGCTGCAGCGCACATTGCTGAGAGGGAGAGAAACAAAAAGCAGGCAGTTTTGGCTGCTCAGTCAGCAAGAGGTGGCAGGCTGCCGTCCAGCACAGCAAACTGACCAACGTGTCCAATAAGGTTTCAGCGTGGACAGCCACAAAAGAAGTTTTTCAGCCTAGCGATAATGCAGTCAAACTGACTGAATACTTATGTGAGATTTAACTAATAAAAACCAAATGCTTTTCAGATGTCCACATATTAATCTAAACCATTGCCAGCAGACACGTGTGCAAGACATTGACACCTGAACATCACCTATATATGTATATTTTACATAGACAACCTCACTTGGCTGTCAACCAGACAAACCTTTGCCTTCAGAAATATGTGCAGTGTCCAACATACAATAAAAAGACGCCATGCACCATAAAAAGCAATCACTGAGACCTCTGGACACTACAGCTCCATATAGAGCCACCAGTCCTGGATGGATCCCTAGTCAGAGTCCCGTGTTATGTAACCGTATAGTTGTTGGCAGCTTGACGGAGTTAAGGTCAGGTAACTTGGCTTCAGGAGTCTGCAACTCAAGACTGCATTGGTTTCTCTAGATTAGTTCACCTGTGTTAACCTCAACTCGATTACATAACCAAAACAGTTCTGGATTAACATGTTATATTTAATCTGGTGCATTTAATCTGAAGTCATTTGTACATGTAAGTTCTGCTTTAAAGAGTGAATGAGCCATTCTGTATTATTGTGTTGCAGTACATCACTGATAAATAGTTGCTTGACGTGGCTGGGACTGTGAAGGATGGACATAAAACTAGCATAAACCATCTTTTTAGCTACTGTTTGATTAGTAATAAGCGGGTTAAATGGCTCCACAAGGCTGAGCCTGGCGGTGGTGTTAGGTTTTCCTTCCAGCAGGAACTGTAACCATATGGTAACATGACCAGTCACTGACATGCTTCAGACACCAGGAAATGATCAAATATTGTTCCATTTAGCGACCTTATTTGTGTATATTTCCACCCTGCTATTCACCTGAACACAATTTAATTGGATAAAAAGTAAAAACTGGATCATAAAGCATTAAAATAAACTAAATTTAACTCGTAAATGTCCCTTCAAGACGTGTATTAAACCCTATAAAATGTCCTTATTTGGTGAGTAGTTTAAGTTAACTTGACTAGAGGGAGAAAATGCGACTTGCAGCTAATGCTAACAAGCTTGTCACTAAATTAAAGAAGTTTTTAAGTTAATAAAGGTTTGTCAGTTCGTAAAACCAGGCCAAAACACACGCCTAGGTTCACGTGTGTCGCATTAAGTTGATAAACTGGACGAGATAAACTAGTGTAGTTTAATAACAAGCGAAAAGTCTCCCTGTCAACAGTTTAGCTAGGTAGCCTTAGCTGTGCGTGGCAGTTGGGCTTCCTAGCTGAGAGGAGCGGTGTCAGCCCCGAGAAGTCTCCGCTGATACACTTACTAAAAAGGTTTTAAATGTCTGTTTCACTCACCGAGCTATTTTGGTAGTTTTCTATCGACCTCAGTGCTGTTTCGGTCAACTTGACGTGCAGTACGGTGACTCTTTCTGCGTTCTGTTGGCCACAATTTAATCCGTACCTCCCATCCTCGGAGAGAGCCGCCATCTTTACCAGCCCTCCACCATCGTCCCTCTGAAGCGGGAGGCTTAAGCAGCCTGGTCTCCCTGCGCTCACCCCGCTCCTGGGAGGGATCACCGCTGCCCTGGGGCTGACAGCTGGAGACAGCTCGGCTCAGCCTGCTTCATTCAGTGATTCCAGTTCAAAACTAGGCTAAAAGTGCTGCATTTTTTGTGCCGTTTAATCTGCAGATCGACTTTTTCTTTTATTTATTTATATTTTAATTAGTTTTTTTTTGTTTTATTTCTTAGTTAAAGAAAACTCTGCTTCATCTTTTCGACCCTTACATGGTTAAAACACTCATAGCTACTAGTTCCCCCTTTCTCTTTATGCCCATAACCTTTCAGTCAAACATCACACACACACACACACACACACACACACACACACACACACACACACACACACACACACACACACACACACACACAGCTGCATGTTGCTGACATGGTAAAACTAATTGTAGCCAGCTGAAAGTGTTAGTGGTAGCTTTTGTGACAAGTCACTTTTTAGAAAACGTTTGGGATGCATTTTCATTAGACTGATCAATTTAAAATCAATGTATTCTCTTTAATCAATTACTGACGTCAACTTTCAAAACCTTCCCAAAAACATCAATCATACACCTTTGTTGAACAAATAATGTCTCCATGAAGAAAAACAACAATGAAAAATGTAAAATTTTGCCTTTTTTATTCATTGGGATTATATATACAATTTAATTACATAATAATGTAAAGCACTAACATTTAGAATTGACATATATTTAGGATTTTTTGTTTTATACTTTATATGTCCCAGATTGGCATATAAACTGACATTATTACAAAGGACGTGCACTTTCCTTGTCAACAGGACTATCTAGCGGTGTCAGTCCCCTTGACGTGGTGATTAGCGGTGTAGCCATGGGCAGGGTGGGGAAAGGCTTGAGTGAATCCAGCAGATTACCACAGCTCTCTACCCCACCCATCCCCCTGACTAGTCACACAATTATACAGGTCACATGTTTACAACATTAACAAGGTTTAAAAAGGGAACAAATAGATTTGCATGCAAAGGAAAATTGTAGTTTTACATTTGTAGTGACGCAACATTTGCATGGGTTTAGTTTACAGTGTTACATTACACTCACTATTTATCTGCATCCATGTCAATTTCAGAATTGTTGTCTGACTGGTTGTCTGCTGTGCAAACAATTTTGTAAAGCTTTTGGGTGGATGACTCACTCCGTGTGTGTTTACTGATGCTCTGAAGTTGGGATCCAATGTAAGAGTATCTTAAAATTACACTCCCTTTGTTTCAAGTTAAACATCAAAGACCTAGTGTGTTACATCACAGTGCATGCTTTATTTCTGTTTGTTGTTTTGTGCGCTGTGACACTTTCCTCGAAGTTTTTATTACAAATCGCTCATGGTGATCAGGTTGCAGCTTTGAGTGACACACATGATGCTCTTTTCTTTTTAAGAATAGTATTTTTTATGATTTTATGTGTGATGTAAACTCAGACTAATAGTTCTAACACACTCTAAAATCACTCAAGGATCCAAACCAATACCAAAGCTTTTAAAAAAAATCAGTTGTTTTAAATCCCAGTGGACAGGGAGACAGAAATGAAAGTGAAAGGGGGGAGAAGAAAGGAAGACACGGAGGAAGAAATAAAATCTCAGTAAGATAAACAATAAAAGGTGTCGAAAAAAATTCTCCTAGACCTGCAGAAAAAGAGAGAGAGTGAGAAAAAAGGGACACAAAAATACAACAGAAGCTAAATATCACTCCACCAACAGCATGAGGATGTATAGCTAACATTTTTTGCTGAATAGCACATGGTAATAATTCATAGTGTATTTTGTGCCAACCACAGCCTTGAGTTATGTGTCAAAAATGCCTAAGTTCATAATAGTAAGAAAACCATGTGTGCTCCTGCGTGCATACACGCACTTGTGTATATAAGGTCCATAGGAGTGTGTATGAAGGGCCAAAGACCCACAGAAAATGGAAGAGTTCCAAGCCCCAAAAATATGTATTTAGTTATTTATTTAAAGGGAAATTCCACCTCTAAGTGCAATTTATTCTGTTGCCACATGCCCCAGAGTTAGATAAGTGGGAAAACGCATTTTGTAACAAGCCCAGTCATTCTCCTAATCTGACTTTAGCTTAGCATAAACAATGTAAGTGGATGGTAACAGCTAGCATTTCAATCATTCAAATAAAAAAATAAAAATAATACCCACTTCCATCAACGCAAATGTGTGGCTACTTATACCCAGTACAGTATTTTGAAGGAACAGCACAAAGTTGCACTAAAAATGGCCAAGTACTTGAAGAAGTGTCTTTTGGGGTAGCTGTGTCTTGTCCCTGCAGCAGCTGCTTACAGCTGTGCTTTGTCGTAATCTAGTCCCAAGCAGAAGTGTGGACTCGAGTCAGATGACTTGGACTCAAGTCAGACTCGAGTAATTATTTTAATGACTTCTGACTTGACTTGATCAAATCTATAAAGACTTATGACTTGACTCGGACTTGAATGCCAATGACTTGCGACTTGAATCGACTTGCATCTGTTGACTTGATGATGACTTGAGCATATTTGATATTTGAGCACAAAAGTGGCACGACATGGACAAAAATCATAAATCATTCTTCATTCTGGGTTTGATCTTGTACGGCTAAAGGCAGCAGCACATTGTTTAGAATCAGTTTCAGTTGCACTTTCTGCTTGTTTGAGCAAATAAATAAAGCTTTAAGAAGCTTTATTTCTGGAATGTATTCATTATCATTTGTCCAATTGAAATTGGACAAATGCCTTGATTATGACTTGAAAATTCAAAGTTAAGGACATCATTGACTTTGGACTCGACTTGGACTTGGTTGTCTTTGACTTGGACTTGACTTGAGATGTGACTAGAAAGACTTGGGACTTTCTTGTGACTTGCAAAGCAGTGACTTGGTAACACCTCTGCTCCCAAGTCTGAATCTGCTCCTATTATTCCTTCGTGTTCCTTATTATTTTCATTTGTGGTTGATACGATTATTGAGGCTTCGGCTTACTCCCACAATCTCAAAACATGACTGTTAGGTTCATTGGTCTCTCTAAATTGCCCTAAGGTGTGAGTGTGTGTGTGCTTGGTTGTTTGTCCTGTGTGTCTAAGTGTTGCCCTGCGATGGACAGGCAACCTGTCCAGGATGTACCCCGCCTGCATGCCCGGAGACAGCTGGAGGAAGGATAAGTGGGTAAAGAAGATGGATGGATGGATTATTATTGAGGTCACCAAGAAAAATAGGCATCATTACTGAGTAATTTTCATGACTTTTTTCACACAAAATGCTAGCTGTTACCATTCACTTACATTGTTTATGCTAAGGGGCTGTGCAGTGGCGCTGTGGTTAGAGCTGTTGCCTTGTAGCAAGAAGGTCCTGGGTTCAATTCCCGGCCTGGGATCCTTCTGCATGGAGTTTGCATGTTCTCCCTGTGCATGCGTGGGTTCTAATGAATGCACTGTTTCCTCACAAGCTATAAAATCAGTGGCTCCTGACAATAAATTGTTATGTTATTCTAGGATTAGTTAAACTTTGGAGTTCTTGGTTGTGTTTTCCACACATTGCTGCTCCTTGTGTAAAATACTCACCAGAATGATCTGGAAAGGTTTAGCAGGAATCCAACGTCATTCGAATTCCTCCTAAAATGACACAACCTGCATTTACTTGTTGAGTTTTAACGGTCTGATAATTAAATAAGCAAGCAGGCAGGTGATTCAGATTTAGCTCAAATGATAGAATAACATTTGTCTGCTAACTCACATGGAGAACTAGATAACAGCTGCTTTTCTTGATAAACTAGGTTAAAGAACATGAAAAGAAACCTGCACATCTCCAGGAGCATGTCATTTGGAAGAGATAAGACTCATTACTGCGCATAATTCAAATTATGCTGCTACTGCAGAGCAAAGACGGGTTGTTAAGAGCACCATGAGGGCAAACTGTTCAAGGAGTTGACTTTTACGGTTGGAATCTGTGGATAGACAATATGGAGTCGTCCCCACCCAAGCTAGGTTGACAAATATTCTTCAATAAGATAAGGAGACACACGTATAAAAATCACTAAAGCACTTCTGAAGAAGAAGAAAATGACAAAAACAACCAGGCATGTCGCTGGTCTTGAATTCCAAAAGAACCAGTTTGAGGTTCATAAGAAATTTAAAGTTACACAACTTTTTCCGGCGGTGTTGGTAAGGGTTTTGGCCCCTTCTTTTGGTTTCCTTTCTTTTTAATAAAACCTTTGTAAAGACAAGGACACTTTGAGTTTGGTTTTTGCTTGGTCAAGCCTTTTTCTCCTCCGTTAGGGTTACTTTGCGTTAAACTTGTCCTTTTTATGTTTATTCCCCTCTCTTTCCTAGCAGAGCCCACAGAGGGGTGTAACAGCGGGAATAGTGTTTGAGGAAATAAAAGTTACTTTGTAAGAAATATTGTGAACAATTAGGTTCCTCTGCAGTTTTACAAAGAGTGAAAATGAGCTTTTTCATGTCACAATAAAAGCCCCAATAAGAATGTTCCCACAAACAAAGCCCCAGAACAGATTCTGCACAAGCTTCAGCATTTTTCTGTATGTTTGGTGTGCACATAGAATAAAGTGTTTTTGTGTAACATTACAAGTACTTATTTCACAGTTTTGGTAAAGGTTTGTCCTCTTTAGACATTCAAAATTGCATTAGAGTTGGATTTTGAGGCATGGAAAATAAAGATGTTTTAAAGAGCAAGTCACCCCCAAATCAACCTTTTTTCCTGATAAACTATATAAATGCGTGTCTAATCGTGCCGCAGACACGTGTAGTGAATAGTTTTGCACTTTAGTGCATTTTAATAAAAATTTTAATTTTCGCCCTAAATCTGTCAGTGTTGTAGTCAGGTTAAAAATTCTGCTCTGCATTTGAATTAAAATCTGCCATCGCTATTGGCTAAGAGGTACCCTAGAATGTTAGCTGGTACCATATGATGTCACAATGTCGTTGTGAGCCTGTGTGTGTGTATTTGTTAGTGGCTCCGTCCTCTCGGTCTGCTAGGCAACAGCATTAGTTGCATTTTTCAAACAGGAAGTGGGAGTGGAGTAATACTCTGGTAGGGGGTGACTTGTTCTTTGAATAAAAAATATTCTGTGGAATTTGCTAATTCATGAAAAAAAAAAAACAAAGTGAACACGTGTTCCTTCCTTATTTACTACCTCATCTGCAGAAAAAACTGTTTAGCAGACTAAAGTCCATTAGTATAAAGTTACTATGATCAATGCAGTAAAACAATATATAGATTAGCCATTTCAGCCCAATGAATGAGGCTCCTTTTAGTTTTAATTATTTTTGGTCAGTCTTAATAAATGTAAACAATAAACTATGGTACTTATTTGTGAACTTTAAAATTTGCATTTACTTTTAATTTTGTAGTGGGAACTATTATTTTGTCTGCTAATGTTTTAGTCAAATGAACCATTTAGTTGGTTTTCTTGAATTCAGTTAACCCTTTAACTGCCACACATAGAAAAAAAACGTGAACAATTTTTATTCTTTAGCATTTTGATTTGATTTGTCTGGTGCAGTAAGGGTTAGAGTATGATGTAGGTTAATAATTATATAAAACAAGAATGCTTATTCAAACAGCCCCATACTCTACCAGGAGTGTGACTTAATGGGTTAAAGGTGGTGTGTAGGATGTGGAGACATCTAGTGGCACACATCGTTGCCAAACGCACACAATGAAGTCAAAGTGTGAACATTATATTCAACAGCATATTTCCTCCCTTTTTGAGTTATTGTCACAATAAAATTCTCTATATAAATTCTTGTAAGCTGGGTGTTCTTTTGCAGAGCACTAATCAACCCAACATTTGTTTTTGGACTGTGCCAACATGCTAACTCCACACATTAAAATCCCCAACTAAGATTTAAATAATAACGCTTTAGCTCTGAGCCTTCAGCGCTGACTAAAGCTCCATCCTGTAGCCTGCTGCTGGAGATGTGAATAGAAATTTGAAAAATTTCAGAACTCTTCAAGTCTGCACCAGTCTGCCAGCATTGGCTTGGCAAACAGCCAAAGAAGCAGCTGGTTCAAAAAGTTATCTGTCAGGAAAAGCATCTGTCTTCTTCATCCCCTGCCCTTCCCTGCTTTTTGACCTCTGTTACCTGCCAGAGTCTCAGTGACCCAAATCACTTTAGGCTTTAGTTTTAATTCAGCCCTTTTTTTTAAATTAAACCAGTAAAGTTAGAATAGAAGTGAAATAAAAATAGACGTTACATTTATTTATGAGACAGTGAAAGCCTCCAGTATAGAAGTTGTCGCTGTTCGCCACATATTCATTCATAAAAGTCGAAGGATTTTGCTTTCAGTCATTTTACAAACCCATTTAAAAAATCGTATTTTCAGAAATAAAGTCTAGATAATTTAATGGCCTCCAATGAATTGGACCTTATCAAAAAGGAATGTTTTCCAGAAGGGAGAATTTTTGCCTGGATCCTAACAACGACTCTGAAGCAGCAAACAGCTGTTTGAAGTTCATCTCCTTCCTAGCTCCACGTGGCGGTCTGGCCCTGAGGACAGATTCTGTTGGCAGTGAGAAACAAACATCTGCTCCAGCTTAACCCTCCCATAAAACACACACACACACACACACACACACACACACACACACACACACACACACACACACACACACACACACACACACACACACACACACACACACACACACACACACACACACACACACACACACACACACACACACACACACACACACACACACGAAGGAAAGAGGGATGCATGAACGTTGGGTTTGTGTTTGACGGAAAGAAGGAAGAAGACGACAGTCATAACTTACAGACTCGAGTCCTTTTTAATGTCTCTTAAATTTACAAAACACACAGCTGATTGTTTTTACAGAATATTTTCTTAATGCACAACAAATTCATGTCAAAGGTTAAAATTTTAGACACACACAGCCTGGGAAAGCAGCTCCCTGCTGGATTTATTTGCACCCACCTGGTCTTTAAAGACCTTGAAACAGCAGCTTTTCCAGTTAATGATTGGCCAGTATGGGGGAAAGTGTGCACTCACTGCTGTCTCTTATCGCCTCTGACCACAAAGCTGCTGGAGAGGTATCTCAGTGGCTGACATTAATATAGAGGGCAGCGCTTTGTTTAAAGAGACAGGTTATTTTCTGTGTTGTCTGCTGGAGGAGGAGATGGGGAGCATGCAAGAGCCCCGTTGACACAACTGGAGCTTTAATTCATTGCAGATTGTGCAGTTTGCTTTGGTTTGATTGCACGCTACGTTTTCCAGCTACGAAACCATCAAATAAAACAGATGTGTAGTCTTTTTTAAAGATGTCTGCAGATTATGCTTTTTCTTTGTCTATTTTCTTGTCAAATCACCACTTGGAAATGATTCTCCCCTGCAAAAAGGATGGAAAACTGTAAACTTTAGCATTCCTGTTCTCTCTTCTGCATATCGTATGCTGCACACTGCCTTCCTAAGGAGATGAGCCTCTTTGTAGGAACATGAGCCGTCAGGGTGGATTCCCACCAGCTGTACTCTGGTGACAGCACACAGGTGGGCCTGTGGTCGATCAGGTAACGGTTCAGGTAGCTTTCCTCCAGGCCTCTGGCCGTCACCCTGTTTGCTTGGTCCTGCAGAATGAGTAAAGAACAGCCACGGACTAGCTTACGCATCTCAGACACCGACCCGCCGTAAAACTCCGAGGTGTAATAGTAGTCCCCTTCATCCTCCTCCACACACGCTGATGAAACCTCCTGATCCTCATAAGGATACATATTTCTTTGCATCCCGTAGATTTCTGGGTGCAGCGTCGCCACGAGATCTCCCAGGATCTCCTCCCCAATGGGGCCCACAAACTTCTGGTCCACATCAGCGCAGAAAATGTACTCGACCTCGCTGTCAACAGAGTACCGGATGGCATCAGTCAACAGGACCATCCGACGATACGCCAACCGCTCCCACCCAGGCAGTTCTGCAACAGGGAGCACTTTTATCTGCCGCCCGGGACCCAGCTCGACTTGGGGATCCAGGGTACGAGAGTTGTCTGTGAGAATGTAATATGTGACCATCTGGCTGGGGAGAAAATGGATTTCAGCGGAGGAGATGAACGACCGAACAAAGCGGGCGTACGTTCCCACCACCAGAGTCAACAAACCAACATGGATTCCTTGTTCTGAGAGTTTAGCTCTCTGCAATGCTGCGTTACTGCTGTCCCCCCACACCAAAGGTGCGCCCCACGGTGTCTCCCCTGGGGTTTGGAGCTCTGCTGTTTTGACCACAGTCATGTCTTTCAGGATTCTTCCATCTTCCAATCCCAAGGTGTGGTGGACGGAATGAGCTGACTTCAGACTGCCCGCAGTTTTACGTCCATTCAAAAAATCTAAGAAGACAAAAACAGCATTTCAGTATTCATAAGAAAGGGATATTTATAAAACTGCACACAAAGATGCATAAGCTCCCTCGTAAACAAGACAATTAGTGTTTAATGTGGCATGGTGGAGAAACGAGGGCCCGGGCGGGATTCAATCCCCAGACTCTTGGGTGAGAGTCACGTACGCCAACCAGTCAGCCAAAGGGACATCCCCTTAGCCAAGTAGCCAGGGTGCACGATCAATCGGTACACTGTGACAGGATGCTCACACTGCCACATCAACTCAGCTGAAGTCACTTTAAAGCAGTCTGGGTATTATCTTTTAGCATTTTTGTTTGTGCGTGCATTGTCCTGATACAGAAAGAGTAGGAACATTATCTTCTGCACACTCACATAAGATAAGAGACAGGAGAAAACAGCTTAGGAGTAGCTGTATTTTGGTCATTCGGACTGGACCTGCTGGGAGATACAAACGCACACATGCACTCATCATTTATTTATTTAAAGCTGCTACACTTTACCCTTATGCCACCTCCAAATATCCCCCTTATACTGACAGATTTGATAGAAATATGGTTGTTATAGAACTGTTTCCCCTTGAGAAGGATCCTATCTTTAATTTTCACAAGTAATCTGTGAAAAGCCTGCTGAACGTCTGTAGTAAATTGCATTTATATCAGTTTATCGCAGTCTGGATGCTTTTCCTGATTAAGAAGAAGGAAGAAAGAAGCTTTTGACTAAAGGATGCTCCAACATATGTCATGTGTAGGAACATTAAACAGGTCAGACTGATATCAATGGGGGCATTAGTGTCACTCCACTTGATTTCATGGGACTGAACCGTCACTGGATGGTTGACATCACGTTTTAGCTGAACCAGTCCCAGTTTACATGCCTGTAAACTAAAGCTGCAGCACATGGGGCAGCAGTTAATTCATGAGATGCCATGAAAAAAAAAACCATGACAAAAGCAGAAGAGGAGGAGCAGAGGGCATGGAGAGCGTACTGACCTGAAGGTGTCTTGCAGAGCAGAAAGACTGCCATGCTGTGGATGAACTTGTCAAGTTTTTTCCAGACGGGATTTTTGCTGCTTCCTAAGTTTGTGGATCTTGGTAGCTCTCTCTGTCCCTGGAAGCCTGCCGTTAAAGTCCCTGTTTTTGGCCATTCGTTTTTCAAGTCTAAACTTCACTTTCTGCCTCGTCTTGCTGCTTTTCCACTGTTTTCCACTCCCTAGTCTTCAGATAACTGGTTCCCAACTCCCCCTACTCACGTTCTCTCTGAGGCTCTTGAAACATTCCCCATTGGAGCACAACCAGAGCAGCCAGATGTGAGGGGAGGAGTTGGAAAAAAAAATAAAGCAACCAGAGAGGGCGTCCAAGAATTGCAGAGAATGAAGAAGGAATTGTGTCTTCTTTTCCATGCTGAAAGATAAACTTTAAAAACTAAATCCAAGACTGAGGTTTATGAGCTACTTGTTCTTTCCACAACATTCATTTTAATAAAATTCTGCACATATTTAGGAAAAAGGGGGAAAATTATGTAGTGCAGCACGATTTTATGTGCAAATTTTTGTTGCTGTACTTGGCAAATGTTGTCCTCAAGGTGGCGATATAAGAGAGGGCAACACGTAATCAGAACTTAGCATTCAGGCAAGTGTTGCACAGTAAAATAAACCCATGTACTTTCTTAAATGAAAAGCCCTCAGACAAATCTGTTTAACTTATTTTATGAGTCATTGCAAAGGTGGTTTTCTTTACTTAGTAAGTCTTTAATTACTGGATTTGGGGCTTTCCTGATATATATATATATAGGTCCTTCTCAAAAACTGTGCTTTCATCCGTAAAAAGTACTTTGGACCACTGTTTCTGGTTAAAAAAATTATCATATTGTGATGAAGTTCATTATTTTCTGTAATGTACTGAAAAACATTAGACTTTCATATATATTAGATTCATTACACACAACTGAAGTAGTTCAAGCATTTTATTGTTTCTAATATTGATGATTTTGGCATACAGCTCATGAAAACCCAAAATTCCTATCTCAAAAACTTAGCATATCATGATAAGGTTCTCTAAACAAGCTATTAACCTAATCATCTGAATCAACTAATTAACTCTAAACACCTGCAGGAGATTCCTGAGGCTTTGAAAAACTCCCAGCCTGGTTCATTACTCAAAACTGCAATCATGGGTAAGACTGCCGACCTGACTGCTGTCCAGAAGGCCATCATTGACACCCTCAAGCAAGAGGGTAAGACACAGAAAAAAATTTCTGAACGAATAGGCTGTTCCCAGAGTGCTGTATCAAGGCACCTCAGTGGGAAGTCTGTGCGAGGAAAAAGTGTGGCAGAAAAGGCTGCACAACGAGAAGAGGTGACTGGACCCTGAGGAAGATTGTGGAGAAGGACCGATTCCAGACCTTGGGAGACCTGCGAAAGCAGTAGACTGAGTCTGAAGTAGAAACATCCAGAGTCTCCATGTACAGGCGTGTGCAGGAAATGGGCTACAGGTGCCGCATTCCCCAGGTCAAGCCACTTTTGAACCAGAAATAGCGGCAGAAGCGCCTGACCTGGGCTACAGAGAAGCATCACTGGACTGTTGCTCAGTGGTCCAAAGTACATTTTTCGGATGAAAGCAAATTTTGCATGTCATTCAGAAATCAAGGTGCCAGAGTCTGGAGGAAGACTGGGCAGAGGGAAATGCCAAAATGCCTGAAGTCCAGTGTCAAGCACCTACAGTCAGTGATGGTCTGGGGTGCCATGTCAGCTGCTTGTGTTGGTCCACTGTGTTCTATCAAAGGCAGGGTCAATGCAGCTAGCTATCAGGAGATTTTGGAGCACTGCATGCTTCCATCTGCTGAAATGCTTTATGGAGATGGAGATTTCATTTTTCAGCACAGCCTGGCACCTGCTCACAGTGCCAAAACCACTGGTAAATGGTTTACTGACCATGGTATTACTGTGCTCAATTGGCCTGCCAACTCTCCTGACCTGAACCCCATAGAGAATCTGTGGGATATTATGAAGAGAAAGTTGAGAGACGCAAGACCCAACACTCTGGATGAGCTTAAGGCCGCTATCGAAGCATCCTGGGCCTCCATAACACCTCAGCAGTGCCACAGGCTGATGGCCTCCAAGCCATGCCGCATTGAAGCAGTCATTTCTGCTAAAGGATTCCCGACCAAGTATTGAGTGCATAAATTAAAAGAATTATTTGAAGTTGGCTTTTTTGTATTAAAAACACTTTTCTTTTATTGGTTGGATGAAATATGCTAATTTTTTGAGATAGGAATTTTGGGTTTTCATGAGCTGTATGCCACAATCATCAATATTAGAAACAATAAAAGGCTTGAACTACTTCAGTTGTGTGCAATGAATCTAATTTATATGAAAGTCTTATGTTTATCAGTACATTACAGAAAATAATTAACTTTATGATGATATGCAAATTTTTTGAGAAGGACCTGTAAATAAATATATATATATATATATATATATATATATATATATATATATATATAATGATTTTTCAATTTCAATTATGTTTTCATTCAAATTTTTTAATATTTATTTATTAATTATTTCTGTTGTGTCCTTGGGCAAGACACTTAACCCCATGCCTGCTGGCAGTGGTCAAAGGAACCGGTGGCACCAGTGTTCGACAGGCCTTGCCTTTGTCAGTGCGCCCCAGGGCAGCTGTCGCTACATTGAAGCTCATCCCCACCAGTGTGTGAATGGGTGAATGGGTGAATGACTGTGTTGTGAAGTGCCTTCGGGGTTGTAGAACCCTAATAAGGTGCAATACAAGTACAGGCCATTTACCATGTATTTAGTATAAAACATACCAATCGGTCCAAAAGGCAAAAATCTATAGAAAAACTATTTATCAAGAGCACTTTAATTTCATGTTTTTATTCAAGTTCCTCTGAATTACAGCTTTCCATCATTTCCTGCTCAACACCAGCCATGTAAAGAAGCTAGCGGCGTCATGGCGAGCAGCAAAGAAGCAGTCAGTGACAAAATCGTCTCTCCCCTTGGATACTATTGTGTTCATGGACGTAGTTGCAGAACTGTCAAGTAAATAGGTGGCAGGAACGGCCAATCACACGTTAGCAAGTATCAGCAGAGCCAGTAGATGAACTTATGGACGGTTCTAATGGGAAACAGGCTTCAACACAAAGGGTTGTTTTCCGCTTGGTCCTATTGCTCAACTAGTGTCTATTTAATATTTCCTGCACACGCCTGTACACGGAGACTCTGGATGTTTCTACTCCAGACTCAGTCCACTGCTTTCGCAGGTCTCCCAAAGTCTGGAATCGGTCCTTCTCCACAATCTTCCTCAGGGACCGGTCACCTCTTCTCGTTGTGCAGCGTTTTCTGCCACACTTTTTCCTCCCACAGACTTCCCACTGAGGTGCCTTGATACAGCACTCTGGGAACAGCCTATTCGTTCAGAAATTTTTTTCTGTGTCTTACCCTCTTGCTTGAGGGTGTCAAGATTTTGGATGAAAAAAGTGCAGGGGACAAAAACTGACTTTGGAAAAAATGGTCTCCCATTATTCTGTGTCCCCCCCAAAGCTACAACCATGATTGTGTTCAATCCCTTGTAAAATAATGTCATATTGATCGATGGTTTCTAAATCGAATCAAATCAAAACGGTGTTGTGACAGAATTTGAGGTATCTGTGAACATCGAGTCCATTGTATCGATCTCTTATCGCGAGTCACCCTCTGAGTATCCCTGTATTTTCTCTGATCACAAACTATAAAACATTCAAACAGCACATTCATGATGTCACTTTGCTGTTTATTTTGATAAATCTCATATTTTTACACGTCCATACAGAAACTGAAACATAAATATTAGTTTGTGTAAACAATCTTTGACTGAGGAATTTGTCCAAATCAAGCCAAAAATCATAAATAAAACAGCACAGGCTAGTCTAACGGATAAATCACTGGGATCATGGAAAGCTTCATCCCAAACATCATCGGAGAAAGAGTCAAAGCTGGAATTTCACAGACAAACAACACCATTGCCTTGTGTGAAGCGAGCGTCCTGACAGCGCGGTTCTGGCAGTGATCTGATGCTTTAGCTTCGTGAAACGGTGCTACACACAAAGAAATTCCTGAAGAGTTTTGGTTTAGTTATTTTTTTCACTTATTTTATATTTTTTCTGGACTTAGAAAAATAGTTTCTCTAATGCAGCAGAACTGATACAAAACTAAATAAGTTACAGAAGGAAAACAATCTCTTTTTAGGGTTTCATTGGCATTTTCTAATCCACCAAGTTATAGATCTTCACTTTTTATTAGTTCTAATAAAATAAAATATTAATATGATCATCCTGTTTAACTTGTCTGATTTATAGCAAATAATAGCTCACAATAAAATATACTTCTTTATGTGTTTGAAAGCAAACTAAAAACCATTTTGTTGCTTTTGTTTCACTGAACCCTGAGAATAAATCTTGAGTCGACAGATTTAAATATTTAAAACAGTTGAATATTTTGTGTCACGTATAGCCAACATAATGCTAATTTAGTTTTGAAAGGTTGATTTATTCTCAATGGGAATGATTGCTCATCATCACATGGAGTTCTCAGAATAAATGGGATTAAATTAAACCCATAATTTCACAATCGTTGTCTCTAAATGATACATAGATGTAGATAAATGTGGCATGCTTGAGCAGGCAGTAAGGAGAGGAGAACCAAGACCACTGGGCTCTCTGCTACCTTATTCTGATTAAATGCTTTTAGATTCAACACAGAGAGTCACATTTTACAGCACAGAGGCTCTGAATAAGTCCATATTTTAAATCACATCAAGAAAGGTTACACGTCTAAATGAAGAATTAATGAATCAAAGGGATGGATCAGAAATAGATCGGAAATGCAGCATTTGGGGTCTTTCTCACTTTCTTCTTAACATTTGGATTTTTTCCCCCTTTCATCTGTTCTCCTTGTTCCTCTGTTCCCAAAATCTCCTCCCCCGAACCTGCTCACTTCTGGTCATCATCCAGCATCTCAAACAGGGCCTGCAGCAGCCGGTCGTCTCTGTGCCTGTATGGTTTGGTGTTGTAGAAGCCGTCGCTGTAGTCGCTGTACAGACTGTCCTCGGGGCCACTGTACTTGTTGATCAAGTCCAGAGCTTGGTACAGCTTTTGGGCTGGGAATTTTGTAGGAGGAGGAGGAAAGATGTCCCGGGCTGGCTGCTGGTTGCTCCACATGGAGGGGAAGGGCCTGGGCGTGGCGCGGGGCTGCTGCGATGCGGCGGCGTGTCGGTTAAACGCCGTCTGCAGGAGACGCAGCAGGGCCAGAGAGGGGGAAGAGAGGGAGTTTGAGGGGAGTTTGGGCTCCTTCTCTGGATTGGAGGAAGAGGCGTGTTCAGACTCAGCCCTCTGAGGTGGGCGGGCCTGTGTGGGTTCCTATAGCAACAAATGTGACACAGATTGGCGTTGTAGAAAGAAAAAACAAGATTTCAACTGGGAATTTCCACAGTGTACCACAACTGTACTGTTCCCAGGACACCAGCACGGTAACTCACCTCCATCATGTCATCCATATGTTCCACACCTCGGCGGTCGTTCTGCACTGCGTTGTACGGAATGTACACTCGAGGTTTCTTCATGTGCTTGGGTTTCTCTGATGTTCCGTGGAGAATCAGCTTCCAGTTCAAGATTCGTCCCTTGTTCTCCATATGGCCCGACTGTGACAGGAAACAGGAACTGTCTTAAGACCTAACGGGAAAACTGTTCTGTAGGTCCTATGATTGTTTTGCAACCCTGAACCTGATTTATTTGTGTAGCTACCCTAAAGAAATGTAAACCTGAAGGCTAAAATAAGACTTTTCTCTATAAAACTCACAGTATCTGTGATCTTTAAGGTCCAGATTCCCGCAGGATCTTCTCCCCAAGTATGAACAGACATGAAGTCCCAATTCTTGAAACCATTGGCTGAGGTATCCCTTTCTCGCTCTGCCAGTAGAACTGTGGTGGTGCCTTAAGAAAAACCCAAAGGACTGAGTCATTTGGGGATTTTGTTGTTATAAACTTGTGTTTATGTGTGCTTGTGTCTTTTCTCACCGGCAGGGGAGGTGAGTGTGATGTGCAGATCTCCTCTGCGGGTGTATTCGATACTGGCCTCCACCTGAACATGCTCCAGCGAGTGAACGGCGTTCTCCTGTCCCACGCAGGCTTTGGTAGGAATCTCTATGGTGATCTCTCCCGATGCTTTTAACTCTCTGTGGATAGCAACAAGGGAGAACAGAGGTGGGCCCTGAAATTGCATGCTTACAAGATTATATGTTGTTGTGTAGCTTTATCTGTTATTTATTGATGTAGGAGAGACCACTTCAATTGATGTAGAAGCGCTTCCTCAGAAAGTTTTGCAGCTGATGTCCTTCGCAAATGACCATTAAATAACTATAATAACTAGCCTACTCTACTACAGTAGCAGTAGCTCTGCGGGCCGACCTAGCCATGCTCCATGTAGCCTCAGCAGGTCTGCCATTGGCCTGAGCAGTTTGTGTATTGCCAATCAGAGTGCTCGGTTTGGACAGGGGGATGTTGCGATGGAGCAAAACAACAAAGATGGCAGCAGCTTGTTTGAAATGGTAAATAGTAAATAGTAAATGGTCTGTATTTGATATAGCGCCTTCTAGAGTCCTGGAACCCCCCAAGGCACTTTACAACACAACCAGTCATTCACCCATTCACACACTGGTGGGGATGAGCTACAATGTAGCCACAGCTGCCCTGGGTGCATTGACAGAGGCAAGGCTGCCGAGCACTGGCACCACCGGTCCCTCCGACCACCACAAGCAAGCAAGGTGGGGTTAAGTGTCTTGCCCAAGGACACAACAGAAACAATTAATGAATAAATATTAAAAAATTTGAAACAACAGCAACAGACTGAGCAGGGCTCAAACCTGCAACCTTCCAATTACGGGGTGAGCACTTAACTCCTGTGCCATTGTCACCCTGGGTATGGGATCAACATTGGATTATTTAGACTTGGGCTTTTCTTTGAGTCAGCACCTAGAGGTACTTGAGTCCATTATTTAGGAAAAGGATGTATTTGTGTCTGTCTTCTTGGACAGTTTATGGCAGACTGCCCTGTTGACTGACATCTGGAGCGTTAAGTACATCACATCATTCGTTGTCCAACAGCGTGTGGAGACAGTTTGAAAAACAACCGTAGACCTAGCACCACAACTAAGATCTGTCTATGGGTCGTGACCAGACTACATTCACATATATAGAATGGTTTGCCGGGCTAGATACTAACCACCATATCTCATCATAATCATTATCATAATGCAAAAACTATGGGGGTGAGATTTTGTATAGTGTAATTAAAAAAAGAGATGTGTCTATGACCATTATGGCCTTTTGAGATTAGACCTGTTTGAAGAAACTTTACTATTTGCCCCATTCAGCCTAGTCATTAGCATATCAATCTAGTCAGAAATATCTGTTTCTGAAAACATTGACTCAAACAAAGATTTTCTAAAAGCTAAACTTCCACCTTAAGGAGCTTAGCCTTTTGCTTAACTTGGTGACATCTCTTGGTGAGTAATAGCGCTCTTGGAGAGGCACAATAATGGTGGACGAGGAAATGGTTCCTCCAAAGCTTTCCTTACTGGATAAATAATATGTTTACAAATTAGGTTTCCTTTACTTTTATTTCAGTTAAAGACCACTCAGTCAGAACTCTGCACATACCTTGGCTGAAAAGAATCATCCCTGACGATGCACTGTTTTTTTTCCGGTACGTGCGTCCACGTGGCTGGGTCAGAGAGGTCCACCAGAGCTTTGGCGTTGAGAAGTCCAAAGCCAAAACGGCTGTTGACCATCAGTCCTGCTCCGTTCCTCTTCCAGCCTGGGTTATTGGCTAAAGGGTCAAACTCTGAGGTCCAGACCACGATGTGCTGCAGGTCTCTCCAGGTAAGATTCGGACTGCGGCAACAAAGGAGGGCAGATCAGTATGTCACGTACAGAGCTGTGTGATTTTACTGTATCCAACAATTATTTAAAATGATTCAGGATCCAACAGCGTTTTATACTTTTGTTCCAGCGCCAGGGCAAATATGCCAGCAGCCAGCGGGGCAGAAGCTGAAGTGCCGGTGTGAGTCTGAGTGCACTCATTGTGAAGATCAGCACTTGTCTGATAAAAGAACAACACAAACAACCATAAATCAAAACATTATGTCATTAAGTGAACATTTTCTTGTACAAAAGTATTTGTACTCACAATCCTCTGGTCAGTATAGTCTCCGCTGCTGTACGCTGTAGCCAGAGTGGAGGAGCACTTCTCAGCGTACCACGGGGACAGGCCCTGCTGGGAGGCGCTGCTGATTGAGATGGTGAAGATGCTGTCTGTGTAGCCATCACAGTCACAGTTATCGCCCTGGCGACCGCCGTTACCTGATGCCCAAACAAAGATGGAGCCTTTTCCACCACGGCCCTGTAAAGGAAAACGTGGATTCAATTCCACCTCTGAGTACACGAATCCAGTCAGCTCTGTACCGATCTTGTTTTATTCCCACATCTGCTGCAGAGCTCACACAACCTGAACTTGGATGAACAAAAAGGAATGTACCTTCTGAATGCCATATTCAAAAGCCTTCTGAGCCAGACGACCAGGCCCCTCCACAGTCTTCCCGTCGTCATTGGGCCCCCAGCTGGCGCTGTAGATGTCCACATGGTTCGGATTAAATCCGATGGAGCTCGCTTCGATGGCGTCTGTCACAATTCCATCCAGCATACGGATTCCTGCAGAGAGAGACAGAAGACTGTCTGCTTGCTTATGAACACATAACTTGGTTTTACACACAAAAACCACAAAGCAACAGAATCTGCTCAGGCTAAATCTAGGAGTAAACATGCAACACTAATAAACAAGAGGGAGGCATGGCAGGAAGACAATTAGAGGTTATATTCTGCTAAGTATGATTTATGATTAAATTACTGGTAGTTAAAATATGAGAAGCCAAAATCTTTACCTCCAACCTTTGAATTGTACGCCACTCCAACACCACACTTGTTGTTATCGGCCTGCATCGCAATCTCTCCTGCACACCTGGTGCCGTGCCTGAATCGGAAGGACAAGCTCATGATAAGCTTCTGCAGCTTTTATTTTTTGCGTTTTGTGCATTTTTAAAATGTTTTCATCTTGTTTTCGTTTATTTTGAAAAAAAAAAAAGAAGTTAACCCCAGCTTGAAAGGGAAATTACCAAAAGGGACATTTTCTAAGTAAGCCTTTGGTGGACTTACTTGTTTTCATTGGTGGAGTCGTATCTGGGAAATGGGTCGGGGTCGTTGTCGTTGAAATCGTAACTGGCAGCAGCGTCCTTCAGCAAGTAAAAGAGAAACCAGTCAGGAATTCAAATAAAAGCTGGCATAGCGTCAGAGCAAATCAGTGACAAACGCTTCAAAAGCAGATCCGGTCAACCCGTTGTCACGGTGACATCTACAGCATGAGTAACAATGTGTGTGAAGACATAAGGCCACATGTTGGTGGCTGGGAGCCAGTTTGAACAGCAGTCTGTTTCTGCGTTTGTTTCAGCATCACTACCCGATCAGATCAGATGCATTGACAATGAAGCACAAGCACTTAGATCAAATGAAATCAGAAGTTGTCTGATTTATTTATTATTTTTCTGCAGCCTAGGTGGGTAAGAGCTGCCTGGCCACAGCCGTGTGGAAAACCACACCACTAATGGGACTTTTAGGGTTCTTGTAAACAAAGGAAATGCTCTTCCTGTCCTGACTGACATCATATTCTTTCCCTTCCAGATGGGAATGAGATTAATTTCTAAATTCTTCATCCGTGAATGTAGAGAGGCTGCAGCCAAAACCATGTTTAGCTTCTATTAATTAAAATCAACAAAGCTCCTCAGGGAAGTGCCTCATCACACAGTGGATTCATTACTGCCTTCACAAAAATGCCTTGTGAGGTGTCACCAGCAGTGTTGCCATGGCAACATCAGGCTCAGACGACGGAGGCTGTCTCCATGGAAACGGTGTCTTACGTAGTTGGAGTAGATGTCTGTGTGGTTCCACTCCAGCCCGTCATCGAGGACGGTGAGGACCACTCCCTTCCCGGTGATGCCCTTCTCCCACACTGGGATGACGTGCAGGTCTAGCTTCGGCAGTGAGGACGACGTCCGCGTGTCTTGCTGGAAAACGGGAGGAGGAAATTATTCAAATACAGATCTCCGAACATCTTTAGCTGAGTTGTCCTCTGACCTTCACTAGAACTCATTACCGGGTTGTCAGAATTTCTTTTGTTGGGGCATGAGTCCACTCCTGCTCTATGGCCACTTGAAGAGCAAATGCTACTTGAAGGTCGTATTCATTTTGGATGAGTCAGAGAAAGAACTGCGATGATTTAATTGGCTCTCAAGACTTCATGGTGCCTAAAGATGAAATCTTAAGTTTTTATTCCCCATTTCACATTCATTTGAAATCATTCCAAAGGTTCCAAAGATTCTCTCATATTACACAACCTAAACCTGATCTAAAGGAGGAATCTGCAGCTAATGCCTTCAAGGGGCAAGATTTAGCAAGATTGTGATTCATGAGCTCTGATCTTTGTGCATTGTGCACACAGACTGCAGAGCACCATCCTAAGAAATGACTCATCTGCCTTTTCTTTTCTTTTCCCTCAGACTCTCACCCATTACAGAGATCACAAGACTTAAATTCCAAAATATATAATGTTCTCTGTAAGTATTTAACCCCTTGCAGATTTAATCTGTTTTTGTTTTTTGTAACCCCAAGCCTAAATGGTTCTCATTTCTGCAAATGGATTTAGGGACAGAAATGTCCAGTGTTACTATTGCTCCAGATCTTTAGAGACAAACACCTTCCAGAAAGTCTTACTTTTATCCCATCAGTCCACAAAACATTTTCCAAAAGGTCTTCATCAAAATGAATAAATTTGTTTTTATTTTATTTTATTTTATTAAACAGAGTGACTTTGACTCATAAACCTTAAACCTTGACCATGTGAGGCCTGCAGTGATTTGGATTTAATTGAATTCAGTTTATTTAAATAGCGCCAAGTCACAACAAGTCCTTTCAAAGCATTTTACAAAGTAAACATTCCAATTGAGTTCAGTTAATTATGCCAATTGGTTAAAACTTTCAAGGAATCCAGCAGATTACATTGAGTCACTGAACTGTTGTAACAATAACTTTACAAAAATCCTCCTACTAAGCAAGCATGTAGCAACAGTGGAGAGGAAAACTCATTTTTAATAGGAAGAAACCTCTATTAGAACCTGGTTCAGTATGAGCGGCCATCCATCGTGACTCACTGGGGGTTTGAGGAGACAGAGCTCACACACACACACACACACACACACACACACACACACACACACACACACACACACACACACACACACACACACACACACACACACACACACACACACACACACACACACACACACACACACACACACACACTCATACACACACACTCATACACACAACATATTTGAATGTTGTTCTGGTTTATTTTATTCTTGAATTTTTTTTTGAAAACGAGACATGGAGCACTGTTTTTGAGATCTTTTAGCCTCTTTCATGTTGTCAGACAGGTTCAACTAAAGTAATTTCTTTATTCCACAGGTCAGGTAGTAATCAGACCAGGATTTGGCTGGTGGAACTAAATTTTGCATTCCAAATAAAGTGGATAATCTCAGTTAATCAATGATTTAACAAGTGGGTGAATTATTATTTCACACAGGCCCAAATTGGTCCAAATAGCTTTCCCCCTTTACATACTGACATATTTCCCAGAGTTAGATAAGTGGGAAGAAACAACTTTTAACCAACCCAGTCATTTTTAGGACACGGCTGCACTCCTTTCGCTTTAGCTAGCATAAAACACAGTAAGTGAATGGATCCAACTAGCATTATGAGTAAAAATGTCTTTAAAATCACTCATTAGTGAGCTCACTTTTGTTTAGTGACCCAAATAATCAGACTGACTGGCAAATTAAAATAACTAGTAACATAATGGAATCACAGGTGCCATTTTAGACTTGGAACTACTTTATGACAAAGCACAGCTGCAAGCCTCCGCTGGCAGCCTCAGAGACACAGCTTCTGTAACAAACTTAATGTTTACTTAAATTTGTTTCCCAGTCCTAAAAACTGAAGTCTGAATAAAACTCAAAAACTGTTTGCAAGCTGTGACGTGACCTTTGTTGATGCTACTAGAAGCTCCCAGTTTCCAGCTTTGTAAAGATTTTAATAACATGAGGCAAACCATGCAGAAGCTCATGTGCATCTCTCTGCACCAACAGAATGATTAACATGAACTGGCTCCAGCGCAGTAGTGGATGCACCCAGGCACAGCCAAACAGGCAGCAGGACTTTCAAACTGCAAGTATGAGTCACTCTTTTAATTGAGTTTATGCAGCCATCCACTCACGATGGATGAAGATGTTCGTCCCACTCCTCGCTCCACCTCTGCCATCCTACTGGCCCTCTTCCCGTCTCTCAGCTTTACCCCAATCAGTGAGCATCAGCCCTGCCAACGTCACAGTCTTTTCATTTCAGCCTCTGCGTTATCTAATTATTTTGCTCATAATCCTGCATGCCATCAATTATTAATGCTGCAGGGAAAAAACACAGAGTGACACCTGAGAGCACGGTTTATGTTGCGTTTATTACTGGCTAAATGAGGGAAGCAGGTAAACACCACTGCCTCAGATGAATCGTGCCGTGGCCCTCACGGTGACACAGACATGGGCTGATGTGGAAATACAGAAAGCGGCACTTTAAGGCCAATTCCATTAGTGTCATCATCCCTCATCAGCACAAATGATTCATCTCAATGTGTTTTCTCATCCACCACAGGCAGCATGACTCATGTTCGGTTAGCACAGGTGCAAAAACCAGAAGAGCTGAGGCTGAGAGAACATAGTTGTAGCACAAGTCCATGTATGATGGAGAAAAAACATAAAACACCATTTATTTACTGTCATTTGTTCCTCTTTTATGTGGATTTTATATTTCTGATATTTGGTTCAATGAGCTTATTTGCATCAAAGTGCTGCCATGTTACCTGTTACTTTAAAGCTTGTGGATCAAATCCGTAACGATTTCCAGGTCAGTGTTTTATCAACATACAACAAATAAATTAGTAATGGATGTGAAAGAGGATGCACAGCTGTGACAATCTGCTGTTCTACGCTGCTACTTGGCCTCAGCATGCTAAAACGTGCCTTTCTGCTGCCCCATCCTGGATTATTGCTCCCTCCACCCCTCTCATGTCCACCAGGGACTGTGGAACCAATTAGAGAAATGGCTCTTTTGGCTGACACTGCCTGATGGTGGGTTACTGTTTCACTGTTGTCATGTATGCACTGATGTACATGTTTATAACCTTGCATTAATGTGCAAGCACACAAGCTACATGAGCACACCTGCTGCATGCATGCACGTTGCACACTGCAGTGATCTTCAGCCCTGAGCTAAAAAATGCTGTGGAGGTTAATTGTCACAGGACTTTAGGCAAACCGTTAGGTGACGTTAGACCAAGAATATGTAAAATATGACCCAAGAGGCGATTGTGAACCAAAATCTGATATCCATTTCTAGTTACTGTATTCAGAAACATGTTGAATCTTTATTGGAAACTCACCAGGTACCACTGCTGGTTCCACATGGGGTCATCGAACAGTTTGTCCACAGAACAGTCCCTACAGCTCCTGAGCGCCGCTCTCTTACTGCGCCGCTTTTCATACTGCTGCTCGGCCCACAGCACCTGACCAAAAAAATTAATACATTGATGTGTCTCAAAAGGTGAGGAGCTCCCACACAGCCTGGGACAAAAAAAAGAATAAATAAATAAAAATCAAAAACTGAAAACTCTTACCCGATCATCCTCAGACAGCTGCCTGGTGATGTGGTCAGCGCTACGTTTCATTCTGCGGGGGTGCTTTTGGTGTCTGAACAAGAAATGATTTTCCAGGGCCCCAATCTGGAGAAAAAACAGAGTCAAACTAATTATTGTCCACAATAAAGTAAGAGGGGATTTCGTATTATTTTTTTCCACCTCCAGGACAAAACCCCAAGCCTATATGAGGCACACCAGTAAATAACAATAATGCTGTAGGTTGTTTACAGATTTTAATATGAGCACACAAAAATAATCCAGAAGATGTGTGAACTTTGGGGACATTAAAGGTTTCATTTGAGCTGCAGCCTTCTGTTATCTGTGTGTTTTCATGATTTCAGAGCAACAGGTTATGTCAGAATAAAATCACCAGTGTTTTGTATCCTTGTTCAGGAAATTAGGATACACAACAGGGGTGGACAGGTGCAGTAATGGGTTGTAGAGGTGAGGGAACGATGAGTCATAGCTTGTTTTAATCCTGCGATTTAACAGCTAAAGGTATAATTTCCCCCTTCTTTCATCACTGTTTTGATTCAAATGTAATGCAACATCTTCTTGCCCTATACATGAGATATTTAAAATGCCTCCAACGTATAAACTGACCTCATTTTGAACTTATTGAGGGGTTGGTCTAAACGCGCTCCAGGAGCGTCGGTCGTCCCTACCTGTCGGACCAGATCGTAGTCCAACTCCCTGGCGATGGCCTCGGCGGCGGACATACCGCCCGGGATCTCCACTGCCCACTCGTTCAGGTACTGTCTGTCCCCGAAAGATGCGCCCAGCGAGCGGGGAACCACGGAGCAGAGGACGGCAAACACACAGCACATCACCGCTGGACGACATCTCACTTCCATGTCAGAAAAAAATTCTACCTATTTACAAAACCAACCTGATTATCTTCGAGAAAAACAGATAAAAACTGCGAGATGGAGGTGGTGAAAATAAAGATTCTCTTGGAGTTCAGTTTATTTCCCGGAGACACCGCTGGAGGAGAAGGAGAAAACAGGAATCTGCGCGTTTTTGACCCGAACGGGAGAGGAAACCGTGATGATGGGCAGGGCTGCTGGGTTTGTGTGTGTCCTCGCGATGGGGGGTTGCTCACACGTCAAATTACTGGTGCTTCTGACGTCAGATTGGCGTCTACCTCTGGTTAAACTCCCTAAGGCAGAAAGTCCAAACGGGAGGGAAGAGGTCTAAAAATATCCCGAACGTCCACGAAGGAGGAAGAGGAGGGAGGAGAAGATGTGAAGAAGAAAAATAAAAATACAACAGACAAGCATACATAGCCTGCGTAGTCTGTTGTATTTTTTTCTCCTTCTCCTCCCTCCTCCTTTTCCTCCATATCTATAACTTTTGTCTCATCCATCCTAGTTTATCCCGCCGGTGTTAATCAGGGGATATATATAATCGTAGTTCCAGCACGTCTTTGTAGTTCTTTATCTGTTTAAAGCAAATGACTGTTGTCAGAAATCACTGTACCATTTCTTTTCCATCATGTTGCCAGGCTGCAGTCGTTTAATCAGGAAATAAAAGGGCATGTTCAGCACCGCGGACAGCTCCTTATCTCCATTCTAACTGGAGCCGAACTGCAGCTAAACACCAGGAAGTCAGGAAAAAGCACCAGTAAGTAAAACAAAGCCGCTGACTCTAGCAGCTGGACTAGCTCTGATCCCTTTAAAGGGATCCTACTTTCAAATTGTTTTCTTGAGCCAGTATGTGCTAAAATTACCATTTACAGTGTTTATAAAAGGCCACCTAGCCCCTATCGCCCCCTGTGGCCATCAGGTTTGTTGGACTTGAGAAGTGAGCTGACATACCTGGTGTTGCAGTCTGGTTCCAGCACGTTTCCTGCATGTTTTAGATCATGAACACAGCTAATTTAGTTTAGTGATGAATCACTCCTGTAGAAATTCAATTGAATTCATTTTATTTATATAACGCCAAACAACGACAAGAGTCGTCTCAAGGCACTTCACATTGTAAGCATTCCAATACAGGTCAGTTCATTAAGTCAATCAGTAAGAAGTTTTCTATATAAGGAACCCAGCAAAGCACCCAAGCCTCTGCCTGTGACCCAGCGAATCGTGATGTGCACCCACTCAGACCGTTTGTCGAGTACCTGCTGCCGAGCCGGGTTTCTTCACGTCGCTCCTGCAGTTCTCCTACTTCCTGGTCCATGCCTGCAGGGCCTATGCCTGCAGGTCCTCCATGCTGCAGCCTCTTCTGAGTCCCGCCGCTGCAGCCTCTTCCGGGTCCCACGCCTGCTGCTGCAGCCTCTTCAGGGTCCCATGCCTGCCGCTGCAGCCTCTTCCGGGTCCCATGTCTGCCGCTGCAGCCTCTTCCGGGTCCCACGTCTGCCGCTGCAGCCTCTTCCGGGTCCCACGCCTGCCGCTGCAGCCTCTTCCGGGTCCCACACCTGCTGCTGCAGCCTCTTCAGGGTCCCACGCCTGCTGCTGCAGTCTCCTGTTCCAGTTTCCGAGTGTTCCAGTTTTCCAGTGTCCTGCTGTCGAGTTCCAGTGTCCCGCGCCTGCTGCTGTCGAGGCCCAGTGTCCTGCTGTCGAGTTCCAGTGTCCTGCGCCTGTTGCTGTTGAGTTCCAGTGTTCCAAGTCCGAGGGTTCCTGTTCCAAGTCCGAGGGTTCCCGGTTCCATGTCCGAGGGTTCCCGGTTCCAAGTCCGAGGGTTCCCGTGTCCAAGTCCAAGGGTTCCCGTGTCCAAGTCTGAGTTCAAGTGTCCCGAGTCTCCAGTGCTATGTGGCTTTGTGGGGGTTTGGTATCCGCCCCTTGGGGGGGTGGGTGGGGGGGTACTGTCACAATCTGCTCCTGCCTCCCTGACTGTGTCTCTCCCCTGCCCTTCATTAGTCCCTATTGGTTTCACCTGCCCATTGTTTACCTGCCCATGTGTTCATGATTGTTTCCTTGAGTATTTATACCTCCCGTCTTGTTTGAGTCTTTGTCGGATCATTGTTTGTTGTCAGTGTTGTTTTGTTCTGTCGTTCCCACTCTGCCATTAAATCCACTTTTATTTTCATCAGTGCCTGCATTCCTGCCTCCACACATGGTCTGCCGTCATCCACACCCGCAACGTGACAGCGCGTGCACACACACACACACACACACACACACACACACACACACACACACACACACACACACACACACACACACACACACACACACACACACACACACACACACACACTCATACACACACACTCATACACACAACATATTTGAATGTTGTTCTGGTTTATTTTATTCTTGAATTTTTTTTTGAAAACGAGACATGGAGCACTGTTTTTGAGATCTTTTAGCCTCTTTCATGTTGTCAGACAGGTTCAACTAAAGTAATTTCTTTATTCCACAGGTCAGGTAGTAATCAGACCAGGATTTGGCTGGTGGAACTAAATTTTGCATTCCAAATAAAGTGGATAATCTCAGTTAATCAATGATTTAACAAGTGGGTGAATTATTATTTCACACAGGCCCAAATTGGTCCAAATAGCTTTCCCCCTTTACATACTGACATATTTCCCAGAGTTAGATAAGTGGGAAGAAACAACTTTTAACCAACCCAGTCATTTTTGGGACACGGCTGCACTCCTTTCGCTTTAGCTAGCATAAAACACACACACACACACACACACACACACACACACACACACACACACACACACACACACACACACACACACACACACACACACACACACACACACACACACACACATGTATTGATAATCTCCACCGACTTCCATTCATTTTAGTGACACCACATATGCCTAACCCTACAGCACCGTTTTTGCAGGTTAACCCCTCAAATGAACCAGGGACTAGGTTAACTCCTGCCTGGTTATTATTATTATTCCTACTCCCAAACATAGCTAAACCCATAACTAGTTGTAAGATTTAACACTAGAACCCTGACACTTTTGTAAACTATATAGCTAGAACTGTCCCATTACATTAGACACAAAATCATAATCACCAAAATTTCTTCCAGATTGTCTACAGCAGTTCCCAAACTTATTTAGCCACGCACCCCCTAGCCCCCACATCAGGACATGGCTATCTATATCTATCTATCTATCTATCTATCTATCTATCTATCTATCTATCTATCTATCTATCTATCTATCTATCTATCTATCTATCTATCTATCTATCTATCTATCTATCTATCTATCTATCTATCTATCTATCTATCTATCTATCTATCTATCTATCTATCTATCTATCTATCTATCTATCTATCTATCTATCTATCTATCTATCTATCTATCTATCTATCTATCTATCTATCTATCTATCTATCTATCTATCTATCTATCTATCTATGTATCTATGTATATCAGACGTCAAGCTAAACAGTCACTCGACAGACAGGGTTAAAAAATATGATCAACCTTTTTCCCTATCACTTTCATTTTTTAAATAGTCATTAATAAACATTCGATACCATTACAATTTCCTATGATTTAATTTTAAATAAATATTTAGAGTGCCCAGGTAGCACATCAACAATGCAATTTAATGGTTTTTTCAAAGTAGGAACGTTTAACCTGGGGCCAGCTAGCTCTCTCCTTCCTTCTGCTCTGCGTAAACCTGAGCTGGTCACCTACTTGTGTGTAATCAAATGTCTATAGGGGAAAAGATGGAAAAGCTATGGCCATGAGGTTCACTTTTGCTTCAGACCGACTGTTTTATGGTGTGGCTGAATCTGCGATCCGCTGCCACGCGGACTGGAATAACAAATGCTGCAGTAACATGAGTTGTGGTCAGGTTCATGACTGGCTCCACTGGCTGGAGCGGACTCGACTTTAATACGTCATCCCAAAATAGAAGCTAATATCTTAATTTCACCTGGAATGAAAATTGTTGATATAAAACCTCTTAAAAGTTTTTTTTATCACAGAGGAGGCAGCGCTCATTTCTGCCTTCAGTCTGATGGCGCGCCGGAGTTTGCGCAGCGTGCGCTTTTTGTATCTGTGTGTGTGTGCGTGTGTGTGTGTGTGTGTGCGTGTGTGTGTGTGCACGGCACAGCTCCATGAGCCGCTGCAGTCGTTATTGGTGCTATTTAAACCAATGTTGTAAAATGACTTCTGCCCAGCCCAGATGTGCTCACATGTGCACCCGTGAGCCGTGGTTCCGCTGGAACGCGTCTGACCTCTGACAGACGCACTCTGAACTTCAGATCTTCAGTGTGTTGTTAATAGCCTGACACGTTTAGAATGCTGTCCCACAGTCAGCGTGCTAATATAATAATATAATAATGCTAAAATGCTCAGATGGGAATCATTTCTTGATTTATTTTGTTACATCCACAATGTTCTGTGTGTGAGGTTTACAATGTCAGAACACCTGCATGAGACAGGGTGTTAATTACAATCTGCCAGGCACCACCTTCAGATTTCTCCAACATCATTAAAAATGATCAAATACGGAACATATCGGCGTGCGCAGGCCAGAGCGCTGAAGCTCGGCACATTGTTATTATGAAGCTAGGGCACATGCAGAGGACACACACGCGCGCGCGCAAAATATACTTGTTTTCAATTACATTTATTGGGTCCACTTACATTTTCTTAGGCCGACCCACAAATGAGTTTCTGGCTACGCTAATGGTGACATATGACAGACTTCTCTGAGCTCCACAGCCATTACACTTTTCACCTTGCGCACTCCCTAGTGGCAGCACACGCACCACACTTAGGGAATCCCTGACCTACAGGACTAACCCTGGGATTTGATCACCATGGGAGCCCCACTGGTGAGAGCTTCTGATAGAGGAAACACAACAAATATGCAAAAGCATTTGCTCATAAAAAAACACGATGCTTAAAGGGCATGTTGTGTTTTTGACCCGGTGGTGAGGTGGTGCTCACTCCTCACCCCTGCCACATGGACCTCAAGGGATAAACACCAACCCTGCTCAGTGGTCAACATTCCTCGTGGGGTCACCCATTAGGACAGTGGGAGGGTTAAAAATGAGCTTATTATTTAGGTGAAATCACCTTTATCAACAACGGACGTTAAGAAACTAATCCATGCCTTCATCACCTGTCAGTTGGATTATTGTAATTTAGTGTACGGTGGAACTA